TCCCTCCCCCTCCCCCTACACCTCCCTTTTTCCTCCCCTTCTTGCCAATTCCCTTTCCAAGAAAGGAACCTTTCGGAGTCAACCGCCCCCACCGCTCGCATACCCCCTCTCCGCCTTCACTCGCTCGTGGTTCGTCTTTTCCCCCTCCGCCCTTCCCCCTCTTCCCCCTTCCCCCCTCCACGCCATCCCACCGGTGGTCCTGGCGCGGATGCCCGCGTAGGTGGTTCCGTTCACTGTGTGGGCCAGCACGTGCTGTACGAAGTTGATGTCGTTGGATACCACTGCCGCGGTGAGGTGGTGGCTCATGCGCTCACATGCCTCCAGGACTGCGGGCAGCTGGCCCTCCCGCCACTCGGTAACAACCTGAAGGGGCCAGGAAGGGGGTGGGGGTTTTAGGATTTAAGGTTTATAACCTTAAAACCCTGATACCCTTGGGTTAAAACCACACCAACCCGTACACACACGCACACACACGGAGCCACCTGGAAGGGACCGAACACCTCCGTGGTCACCAGGTCGAAGTACTCGGGCAGCAGCATCTGGTCCAGCGGTACGAATACGGCAGTGGGCTCCACTGCGCCGTACACCTCGGGAATGGAATGCCCGCTGAGGGGCTTGCCGCCGAACAGCAGCTTGGCACCTGCTGGGCCACGTGTGTGTGTTTGTTTGTTTGTATGTCTGCCTGTCAGTAGTTGTTCGGAACCTGACGAGTTGAGCAGAGTCATCAATGATAAGATTGCGTGTCTCTTGTGCTGGACGGCCCCCCTTACCCTCACCCCCACCACCCCCCTTCTCCGCCCACCGGGAATGGCAAGCAGCTTGTTCGTGTGCTCCAACATGGCCCGTGTAGTCCAGCTCAGGACGGGGCCCACCGTGAGGTCGTACAGCTGGCGGCGGGAGGCCAGCGAGGAGAGCCGGTCCAGCAGGCCCGCAGCTATCCAGTTGCTAGGGGGGGGGGGAGAGAGGGGAGCCGGGGTTGCGGGGGAGCAGGGAAGAAAAAGGTGAGTGAGCGAGTGTGCCACGCGCACGGCACCTTCGTAGCAGCCTGACTTCTACAAAGAGGAGGTCGCGGCCCCTCCGTCTCCTCCTCCTCCTCCTCCATCACAACCACCATCCCGGGCGCTTCCTGCACACACTTGCACGTGAGTGAGCAGCTCCTAGACACATCGCGTCGTTACCTCCCGCCCCGCCCCACCCCCGCCCCAGCCCCAGCCCCGCCCCCGCCCCGCCCCAGCCCCAACCCCGCCCCGCCCCGCCCCGCCCCGCCCCGCCCCGCCCCCAAGCAGGGCCCCTTGCCTGTGCGCGAAGAGCATGGACTGGGCGCTGCACTTCTGACCGGAGCAGGCGTACGCGTCCTGGTCGCACTGCCAGGCCACGTAGTCCAAATCCCGTACGTCGGGACCCAGAATCTTCCAGTCGAAACCCGCGTCCTCCAAAAACACCTCCACGTGTCAGGAGGGAGGGGGAGAGACGGGGGGCCGGGGGCAGAGATGGGAGAGGAGAGGCACGCAAAAAGCGACGCCAGGAGAGGGGTGGCGGATGGGGGCTAATGGGGCCTTCAAGCAGGGGTGGGGCCAGCGGCCAGCGCTCTATATGTTGTCGCACGAACAAGGCCACACATGCCCTTCTCTCCTCCTCACACACGTACCTCCGCTGACCGGACTGCCCTGCGTGTACGTGGGCCTGTATGTGCCACATCCGAGGGTTTTCCCAGCCTCGGAGCCCCCTGTTTCTCTGCAGGGCGTTTCCCCTTTCTTACCCCCCGGGGGAGGGGGTGCCTGCTACTATTTCTACTCCTCTCCCTCGCACCCTCCCCCCTCCCACCCTCCCCCCTGCCACCCTTACCCCTCCCACCCTCCCCTCTTCCCCCCTCACCCCTCCCACCCTCACCCCTCCCACCCTCACCTTACCTTGCCGTGTGTCTCCACCGCCAGTCTCTCCGCCACCCTCTGGCTGCCAGTGAACAACGTGGACCTGGGCTGAGCCGCCCGCAGCACCTCCCCCACGGTGGCCCCGGGGCCGTGAAGCAAGTCCACATCAGCGGGGGGCATACCGCAGTGGTGCAGCAGTCGGAGCAGCTGCTCAGCCACCACACTCACCTGCAAGGGGGGGGGAGATGGGGAAGAGGAGTGGGTGCGGCCCACTTCCATCCATCCGCCTCACAGCCCTTTCCTTTCCTTACACGTTAACCACACATGCCTTTCCGCCCGGACCTCTCCCGGACTCCAACCGCTGGTTCCGAACCAGAATCCGGATCCTCAACCCTCCCTCCCTCTCTCCCTCTCACAAGTGCACACTCCCGCTATTCTCTTCCCTCCCTCCCCCTGTCCCCGTCAGCACGCGACCCAGTGCTGCCCACACGTGACCCCCCCGGGCCCCAGTCCCCCACCCCCCTACACCCCCTGCCTACACGCTGGTCCACATGTAGCAGCGGCTTGTTGCCCATGTATAGGGCCCCCATGAGTTGCAGGGCGGGAATCTCCAACGGGAAGTTGAAGGGGGTGATGAGGGCCACGGGGCCGTACGGCCAGCGGTTGCCGCTGCTGGTCTGGCCGCTGTGGTCCCCGGGGTTGGTGAAGCCGCGGGCCAGGAACCGAACCTGGGGAAGGAGGGAGGGGGAAAGGGGGTAGGGGGTAGGGGGGTTTCTATAATAACGAGAATAATAACGGGGTCTAGCTGGGGTCTTCGGAGGGGACATAGGGCCCCCGAGGAACCCCTCCTGGAGCGCCACCTACCCCACCCCATGTCTCCACCCCGCCACAACATGGTTCCCGTAGGGAGGAGGACGGGGGCTTGACGTGGTCAGTCGGCTCGCTGCTGCCTGCTGCTTGCGTTTGGTCTTCGAGGTGTGCACATACACTCCCTCAGGCATGCAGTCGCAATCCCCTCTCCCGATGTTCCGCCCACCTCCCATTCACCCCCACCTTCCCCCCACACACACTGAGGGCCTTCGTAGCCACCGTGCGCTCCTTCATCATCGTGGATTACGTGAGTCAGAGAACAGGGTGGGTCGCGCGCCCTGGGACGATCAGTATTAGGGGACTGCGGGGACCCCCCACGCCCCTCTCCTCCCGCCGCTAGGGGAGAGTGCTTCGGCTGTAACCGTTACCGTTGGAGTACGGTTGTGGCGCCCACACGTCCACACCGCCCCCGTTTCCCGGGCCCCCAAACCACACCTGGTCCCCGCTGAAGTTCTCGAAGAACTTCCGTGTGACCCGGACCTCCCCCAGCGCCTGCACCTGGCTCTTGGGGGCCACACGCTGAATCAGCCGGGCGAAGAACTGCTCCACCTCGGGCAGCCGCAACTCGGCGGCCACACGGAACGACACATCGCCGTACAGCAGGTACCTGTGGGCGACAAGGCGGCAACAGTAAAGGAGCAGCGATAGGCAGCAGCGTCATCACCGGTGGCCAGTAGCCAGGGGGTTCAGCGCCTGCCTGCGGGTTCGTCCCCCTGGCCCCCTTCAGCGTTGGGTGGGCTTCATGCGCCCATTGAGGTTCCTTCGATTGGGATCCCCCGTGACAGCACTGTGTTCACTCGTTCATTCGGCAGCACCGCTGTCCGCAACAGCAGTGAGAGGCGTGGTGGGGCCGCATAGCCAGGAGGGGGGGAGGGCGGGAGGGAGGGAGGACGGGAGGGAGGGAGCACTGCGGGCTCTGGTGCTACGTCCTAGCGAGCGGGGTTTAGGGGGGTTGGGGGCGCGCATCCGCATGTACATCATGGCATCATGGCAGTACTGCCAGCACTGCCTGCACCTGCATGGTCCTACACTGCGGCCAGATGTGAAATCACTTTCACCCCCCCCCCCACACACACACCCCGAGCCCCTAACCCCTGGGGCGCTTCTTAAGTTGCGTGTCTATCCTCGCCGCCTCGTCCTCCTCCCCCCAGCACAGAGGCCCCTTCCCCCCCCCCGCCTGCCTCTGCGGATCTTTCAGCGGGTTGTGCAGCCCGGACTTGGGCACTGCACGCAGGGACTGTACGAACGGCCCGATCTCGTCCGGCTGCGTGTGGGGCACCTGCAGGAAGTGCTCCCCGTTGAGGGGGTCGGGTAGCTGCCGGGAGGCGCCGCTGGGGAGCCAGTGGCCGCCCACTGAGCAGCGCAGATGTGGAGGCAAAGGATGTGGAGGTGAGTCAGGTGGTCGGATCATCGGCAGCTAGATACGCCGGGATAAAGCGATAGGGATCCCGACTAACGGAGGAGGGGGAGGAGGATGCCCTGGACGAAGGGGGGGTGTTCTTAGCTTGGTGTGCTTTTGGAGGGTGGGTTATGATGTCGAAGGAGGCGCGGGATGTGCCTGGACGGCTTACAGCCAAGCTGGCGCTGCGAAAGGTCCAATGTGTACCAGTGGAAGCATCTAAGCAGGCTGCTGAGGATTGTACATAGTTAAATGTAGATCGTGGGTACGACGCCATATCCGTGATAAGCAGTGCACGGAACAGTAACAATAAGGAGCTATGCACACCCAGGCGCTTTTGGCAGGCGTGCGCCAACTGTCCAACTCCTCACGTGGGTTACCATCTGAGCTGCCGTTTCGTTTCAACACGAAACATAACCACAGGGCCTGATATCCCAGGCCAGGTCCAGGAGGGTCAACTCCAACGCCTACCTAGGTTAAGGCATGCCGCAGGTGCTGAGCCGCTCATCCTTTCGGGATCGACTGTTGCCCAACCAGTCAGACTGCGAGTCAATTGTATCAGGGGCTGGATAATCAACGGCGCTTGCCCCAGTGCACGGACATGGCGTGACAACATGACGAGACGGCGCCCTGAAAGGTGAGTATGTCTGTGTATCGTTAAGTATAGCACCTAGCACATCTCAAATGGTAAAGACCTGTCCTGGTCTAGCAAGGCTAATTTGACGTGGAATTGTAGCGGACAAGTGGTCGTTGTTGCCAGGTGGTTATATGCAGTACACGACCGACAACCTGTAAAGGAAGGTGATTTCTCCTGCCTAAAGGCGGAACATGTTAATGGGAGTTTGGAAACTAAAGCCATCAACTGTGATTTTTTTTGCGCTGCGTAACAATGTGCAAAAGCCGAGCGCATCTACAGGGAATTCCGTAATTTGGACTCTTAATTATTGTAGCTGGTGTTATTTATTATTGAAGCCGCAGGCACCATGCTGCTGGCGGGCGCACTGCATGCCTTTGGTGCATCAGCGGCTTGGCGCCAGGGCACCTTAGTAGCAGCCGCGTCATGGAGCAGGCAGGGAGACTCCATGTCACATCTTATCCTCGGCACAGCGCCAGCAACTCCTCTCTCGTTGTTGCCGTCCAGCCTGCAGCCACAGCGGCACGCAGCCTCTCTCGGATCCTCTTCCCTCTCACCTAGTGCTCCTCCCGGCAACGCGGCCCTTGTCCCCGTTTTGCGTGACGCCGATGATGAAGCGCTCTCGCCTCACCCGCCCACAACTGGCAGCAGTCCATTAACGATACGATACCCATTCGCTGTGGAATACTGGAAGGACAGAGAAGCTGTGGTGTACTCCATGGACGAGCAGCCCCTGGGGCTTGTCCGCCTGCCTGGCGTAGCATTCAATGTACCCGTGCGTTTAGACATCCTGCACAGGGTTGTCCGCTACTTGCGCGCAAAATGGCAGCAGGGCACGCACAAGGCGAAGCGGCGCGGTGAGGTGAGCGGCGGCGGCCGCAAACCGCGGCCGCAAAAGAAGACCGGTCGTGCGCGGCAGGGATCGATCCGCTCACCGCTGTGGAAGGGCGGAGGCGTGTCGCATGCACCGCTGCCGCGCTCCCACGCACACAAGCTGCCTCGCAGCGTGCGGCTACTGGGCATGCGTTGTGCAATAACTGCGAAGATCCACGAGGGTCGTTTCTTTGTCGTGGACAATTTTCTGCGGGTTCCCGGACCTTCGGGATCCAGCAGCGCCGGCAGCGCTTCCAACAGTGTGAATGCTTTGGGCGAGCAGGTCCGGGTTCGGGACTACTCTGAGTTAAAGCAGCGACTTGCCCGCGTAACAGCGGGGAGCTTCGGCTCCACCTGGCTGTTGGTAGACAGCGGGGAAGCGGGCCGAGATGGTGGTGTGCAGCTGCGCAAGTGGCTCAAGGGGCGAATGGTTATGGAGGTGCTGGCGCCGGAGCAGCTTACGGTTTACCACGTGCTTAAGTATCACCGCCTGGTGGTCACGCGGGCGGCGCTGGAAAGTTTAGCAGAGCAGCTCACGAAGCCGCACCGGGTACGGAAACCTGCTAAGCTAGCGTGGTGGTTGCGGCGCAAGGAGCAACTAGATACGGTAGTGAGGGAGCTGACCGAGGCGGCTGATCGGTCTCGATGATGGATGGCGGGAAAGCCGCAGTGCTTTTAACTGGGCAGTGAGTTTTAGGAAGCAAAGTGGTGCGTACGTGCGCTGCTGCGGTTGGCTTTCGATTTCGGACAAGCGTATCTGCGCTAAGATTGGCACTGTCATGTTGAGAGCAGTTCAGCCGTGTCGCCTGTAGGTAAGTGGGCAAAAGCCGGGACAAAACTTGGCAACCGGTGTTCGTTACCAGGGGTTGTGGATGAGGCCATTTTTGGGAGACGTTCATGGGCGCGTGTGTGTTCCGCAAGGATTTCGCGGTCTAGGATTCATGGCGCGCACAACAGTCACAGGCCTTTGCTATTGCCGATTGTACATAGCGGCCAGCCATGCTTGGCTTTTGAGGTACTGCGGCATCCTTGACCATAAATGTTTTGTGGCCAGGGCATTCTGCATGTAGGGAGCTGGAATTGCTGGATACCTGGGCACAGACCCCTTGTAGCTTTGCCACAGCCAGGTGCTTGATGACTTCAGGGATACATGACAGTTGCCCATTTGGGATAAATGTCAATCGTCGCTATAATAAATGACAATCGTCGTTGTGATAAATGACAATTTTGCAGCTACTGCACAACCATTGTGCTGTTAACACTAGGTACACCGGCATTACTCCTATTGCCCTGCCGCTACAGGCGCGTACTGCATGCTAGGTAATGTCACCTGCTGCATGAACCAAACCGAACACGGAAGCAGCATCACACCAAGAAGGATGAAAGGTCACGTGTTAAGAAACCAATATAACCCTCCCACTCGACGCGGCCTGACATTTTGCAACCTATTATCCTAACTGTCAGCTATATGCCTGGGTCAATGATGCAATCGCAATCTTCCACGCCCTGGTCAGGCACTAACCCCCTCGCCTCAGTTCTCATGCGGCTCGAGCCAACCTTTTTCTAATCGGACGAGGCGCCAAAAATGGTCTTAATGCTACGGTCAAATTCTAGCGCATTCATAAAAGCGCCAAACATCCCGCTGCTTACTCAGTGCGCATTCCTGATCGAGCGCGCCGCCGTAGGCGTGCGATTCGCGGCATGATAGCAAGGAAGGCAGCCACCACCAAGAGCCAAATCAGCAACGCTTGCCACTTGTTGAGACGACCAAGCAGCGCGTGCAACGAGGGGCCAACCACCGGCGGGTCCAGCACAGGCGCCGCACCTTTTTTGACGTCTTGCTGAGTCAATGTCAAGTCTTCAAGGTCACGCTCAATGACCCGGCCAACACGCGTCAAGTCTTTTTGCCCAACGCCCTCAGCCCCATCCGCCGATTCCCCCGATGATGCTTGGGAGCCTCCGGCAGTCGTTTGCTTCGGCTCATAAGCAATACCCTGCTTGGCAGCCTTCACGCAATCCTTAACCTCGGCCAGCGGTAAAGATAACCGGTAACAACGTACCAGGAGCTGTTTTTCGCTCTGGACCTTAGGTGGGCTAGGCGGCGGTGGGTTCGGCGGCGGCGATGATGGCGGCGGGCTTGGTGGTGGTGAATGTGGTGGCCGGCTCGGTGGGGGTGAGTGCGGTGGCGGGCTGGGCGGTGGCGAGTGGACAGGCGAAGGGCTGGGCAACGGTGAAGCCTGTTCCTGCAGCAACGAAAAATCCGGTGCATGCTCATTAGGAACATGGTTTCAAACATTCAAACATTTACTAACTGTGGTGGGCGGCATCATCACTGTAACGGATGGACCAACAAATGCATAGCACTCCACCTGTTCCAGTGATGATGCGCTCCACAACAAGCTGCCCCGCTACTGACCACACTCACCGTGGGCTTCATGTTCCGCGGTACAACCACGACTGGCTGCTCCTGCTTAGGAACGACAACCGGACTGGAGCTGTCTGCTGGTGATACACCGGTTGCCCCTTTCTGCTGATCAGGGTCTTCTGCTAGCGGCTGCAGCTCCTTGGCCATTTTTGCTAACTTGTCCTCCAGGTCCTACATCGGTCAATGCAACAAGCCTGGTCATTAGTATATCGCCAAGAGCTGCGTACATTCAGTTCCGAATGTAGTGCAGGGTTAAGTCAACCCAAATGGGATAACCAAAGAGTTGACATACACTTTAGTGACAAACCCAGAGGGGGAAACACCAATTCCTTCGGAAGACATTCTTTTGCACCTGAGCTAAGGCCCAACAGATCACACGCTGGACGTGATGTCACCACGCCAGGGATTACACTTCAGGATGAGAACGCTGTCCAACCTACCTTGGTGCTTGTTTCCGGAAAATACATGTTCTGCTGGCTGCAACGGTTGCATGCCTTACGGCAGGTCTCCGTCATATACCCCTGGTTCTTATCACACTCGCCTGTCTTGGCCCACTCCTCGCACTTGGGCTGCAGTACGCAACGGGATAACGTGTCAAGAGACCCTGACACGTCCAATTACGCATAGCTAGCATCAGCCAGGGGGGTTTTCAAGAGGCTGCGCGAAGCTGTGTGGGCTGCACTCCCATAGACGAATTCGTGCGGCCGTAGGCTCACGTACTCATCCATCAGGACGCGTTGCGATTACTTACATGGAAGTTCTGACAGTCGTAATGCGATTCCGCTTCCTTTATGTACTCGCGAGCTTCATTATAAAGGCTGAAGACCTGGAGGTTACGGTACGAATCAAGCAGTACACCTTTAATTTCCCCGTGAAGGCCAACGGACCCTACAACTTCATGAACAGCGCTATTGAAGAACGACCACCTAGGGTCAACTACAGAAATGCGACAGGTATCTGGTGTACCGAGCCGAAGATCCGAGCGACCGTTAATTTTAGAAATACTGCCAGAAAAATGGATATGCTCGTGCAACTGCGGAGCAATCCGTGAACCCCTCTGGTATTCGGGGCCCCACATTAACCCGCAAAATACCTCTTTGCACACAGTCACCAGCTGCTCCGAAGGAGGGCAGTGCGAAATGTGGTAATCACAGAACGCAGCATTTAAGGTGGCCAGGGTCTCAATGGCCAGGAGGTCGCGGTAAAAGCCCAGGAAGTCGCCCTGCAAGTAAGAATGAATAGCTGGTTGCTACCAAACCAGAAGGCCACATGCAAGCCTAGTGACAATGAGGACGAGCTATTGGCTTCGGCAGCATTCTGACTACCATACGATAAACCCAACGTTCCCAACAACTGCCTCAAGTGATAAGGAAGTCAGGGCACAATGCATAACGTACCTTCGGAAGCGAGCTAGGACGGGGCGGCTCCGGGAAGATACCTTGGCTTCGGCGCTTGGGGTCTTTCAGGTCCCATGGCGGGCATTTTGTGACGTCGAAGTCGTAGTGCCAATGCTTATCGAACGAGTAGTTTTTCCCAACCTCAAACAGGAGTCCATAGTGCATTAACTTGGGGATACCCTCTGTCAGAGGACGCGGGTACAAGCAGAATCAGTGTCTACATCTGCCGCCGCATATCCTATTAATGGACGTATTGGGTCACTAATCAGCGCACGGCTTACGGCAGCGGGGTAAGGTACGATTGCATCCCCTATGCTCCTGTAACCACACATTTAGTGCTGTAGCTGACCTACCCCGGGGCTCGTAACCAGGGTAGATCATGGAAAACGTGTCCCACTTATGCCAGACATTGTGGTTTGCTGCTCCAAAAGCATAACCATACATTTCTGAAATCCAAGGACGGTCACCAGGATTGACAGCGTACACGTCGCCGGACAGACGGTAAGCCTGGAAAAGATAGCAGCCGAATAAAACTGCGTAAGCCGGGACTCTGCCGAACACAGTAGCGGCCGAAGGGCTCAGGGTAACTGAGCTTTAATAGCACCTGGTCATCCATCCGTACGTCCTCTGAAAATTTCAACCAGTCATGGGACATTGCTTTAAGGTCATCCTTGTGAATGAAGAAGAAACCTCCCACTTGGTCAGCTCGGCGACCATAGGGTCCCGCAAGGGTATCGTTCCGTGGAGGCACGTGTGGAATATGACGAACTGCTAGCTCGTTAGCCACACCAATCATGTAGGTATACCGAGCTCCAATCGCCAGCCCCCTCTTAGGATTCAACTCTTCAATGAAGAAAGGCCGACGAAGCACCATGTCCGAGTCCAAAACCAAGACATATTCGTGCTTTGGAACTTGGTGGTCAAGCCAATCAAGAACCGCCTCAGGTTTATTATAGGCGGCATACCTGCCAAAATAAGCCAGACCCCGCTTGGTAGCAAACCAACGTGTCCTGCAACACTTGCTACAACATACCGGTCGCCGTTTCGCGGACTGCGTGACATATCTGGTGCCACCCAGGTGTCCACCATTGTTAAGAGACCCTTGTTGTAGTTCTTTCTGTCCTTTTCCGAGCAACACATAACCCGGATCACACTTCCAGGTTGGCCTGACATCTTAAAGCTGAACGCCATGCCCACACTTTGCCAATCAGAATACATAGCACAGTCGGTCAGGAAAGCTACATGCACCGGCTGATGCTCCGATGCTGCGGTCGCACCCCGCTGGAAGACCAACAGCAAGAAAACACCGAGCAAAAAGCGCATCATTTTCCTCGCCTATTTAATTATAAAGCTCATTCAAGCTCATTCAAGCCTTGAGTGCGTAGGGCGTTAGGTTGCCCATACCAAGATCAATGGTGGTCCTTTCAAGCAGTTTCGACTACGGTATACTTCAGTGAAGGTTCTATCCTAAATTATACTGACGAAACAACTAAACTTAGAGCATCCAAATGTAAGGTAAAGACAGCCAATTGTTGCCGTACGCATCCACAGTGCCCAGCTCGCTTAGCCAAGGGTCCTCTTCAGGGGCTTATTCCCACTTTCCGTGTACACAAGCGCATCTATAAAATAGGTCGACATAGTGGGCACCTCGCCTACAACGCCCACCTGTAGGCCTGTAGGTGGGGTACATCATTGTGCGCTTGTCCCACTTATGCCAAACGTTGGCCTTGGCGGCTCCAAACGCATAACCGTACATCTCAGAAATCCAGGGCTTTCCACCTTTCTCCACATATTGGTCACCACTCAACCTCCACGCCTGGTGGGTGCGTGCAGCAGTAATACAGCTTACAGCATGTCCTTTGTACTGTGCTCCGAAAAGGATGTGACCACAAAAACGGATTGCACAGATACGGTTAAGCAAGATGTGCAGGCACGATAGCTGACAGCATGGCTGCACAATGGCAAGGCTGCCATGTCAGCATGTACGAACCGGTCCAGATCGCGGCGCAGTATTGGAATCCGTGGACTGTAGTCGGTGTTAGTACGACACGTGTCAACACCGGCATCCCAAGCAGGAAATCATAGCTACTCTCCCGTGCGACACGCAGCCTCATATACATTGGCCCAGCTGCCGCCCTCGGCGCTTGGCTCGTATCGGCCTACCTCCGGGTCCTCACGCACGTCCTCAGTATACTTGAGCCATAAGGGAGCCACGCGACTGAGATCGTCACGATGCATGAAGAAGAACCCACCAACCTGAGGGAGTCAGCTTGTTAGTCTTGGCATAGTCATAGTGCTCTGGATGGTCCTAGCAACAACACATCAGCTCACGCCTGCGTTATGCAGTTGTATGCAACCGGAACCTCGAAGAGCAGGACACCTCGGAGATCAACCACGTTGCACCTGTAGATGTTATACCCCATGTAGAATGTACGAAGATTTCTTTCACAGTCAGGCAACCACACAACTATGGAAACCTGACAGGCTACAGCAGGCTGCCACTAGCAAGGATATGCCGTAAGCGGCCGTGGTCAACAGCATTCCAAACCCAAGGAATGGTGATGCAAGCCCTCTCCAAACATCTTACGAATCTCCTTCCCTCGTAGCTTACCTGGTCGCCGCGACGGCCCACCGGTCCCGCCAGCTCATCATTCCGTGGCTCAATCTCCGGTATGTGCCTAACCGCCAGCTCATTGTTAACCCCAATCATATAGGTGTAATCGGCCGAAACGCACCAGCCGCGTGTGGCATTAAAAAATTGTGGGTAGAAGGGCTTGCGGAGATACATGTCCGAATCCAGCACCTGCCCCAGCGTTAAGGCGCGCAGTGTAGACATGCAAAGCACTGTCAAGACAAGATTGGGTGAACCGCAGTGTCGCGCGATATTAAGCAGGTGCATGGCGATGTTCGTGGCGCGTGCCCCATCTCTATACCTAAATAAGCCCAAATCGGCGTTGCCCTTTCCATCGCCAAAGGCGACAAGTTCGGCTTTGCCACCCCTTGGTTGAGGGCAGTTGACCGTCAGGGATTCACGGGTGACGCCAACCGGCAGAACCATACGTTAGCGCACCTACCAGGACCCAGTCCTCCTTCGGAGTGACGTGCTTGAGCCAGTCATAAACAGCACCTGGCTTATTGTACGCAGCATACTGCGTGCATATGGAAGTCGTTGCATTGGTAACAAGTAGGTTCAGGCGCTAGCAGGCAATAAGGTTCCTCCGCGATCCGAACACAAACAACGTGCAATTCATGTACACCAGAAACGGCCCTGGTTGGATCGGGCATGTTTACTGGAACCCCATCGCGCTGCCAAGGTCTTCGTAAATGACGTCCTTCACAGTCATTCAGCAAAACCCCAGATCCTTCCATTATGCCCTAGCGACCCTGTCGGCATTTCCCCCTAATAACCCGATCACTCATAAGCTCCTCCCCGTTCAACTTGAAAGCATGCTCCATAAGGAAAACACAAAGGATCAGCTTGCCCACTAGCGAACAGTTAGCGCACGCTCACACGCATATTTGCGTACCCAATCGTCCGTTTTCTCATTATGGGCAAACGAAGGCGCGACGTGTGTCTGGACAATGGACAAAAGCTGCTCGTTGTAGCGTTTCCGCTCCTCATCCGTGCAACACATAATTCGCGTCAGCTGTGAGTCCAGAGGCTGACGTGATCGTTTGTAGCTGAAAACCATACCCACTGTTTGCCAGTCGCTGTACATAGTGCAGTCTGTGAGGTAAGCGATGTGAACCCCATTACCGTCCGCAGCATGAACGTAACGAGAAAGTGTCGAAAACAGTAGGTACACAGTAGGAACGGTGAACCAAAAGCGAGCTTGCATGATCCACAACATGGTTTTCGTTGGCGCGTGGTAAACGATACTTGTTTTCCAACTAGCAGCTCCGATCAACACCCCGAAATGGATATGGCATGTTTCACAAGATTGTGGATTCGCGGATAAAAAGTGATTCTAACAAATAGCAATAAAACTGCAGCATAATGTTTGGTGAAGTCGAGGAAAGGAAAGTGTGCCAAATGTTGTACGGTCAAAGGGTCTTCATGCATTTTGCAATTTGTTTTCTTATCCTAGTTTGTTGCATAATCACAGATATGTTGCTTTCCACTGGGATGTCAGGTTTGCAAGAGAAAGCATGTCTAATAATTTGCACCTATCTGCGAGCCAGCAATGCCGTCCACCGCGAGGATTTCGCATCTTTATCGCCATTGATGAAACTAAAAGCTTCAGAGACTGAGAGACCCACATAAAGATGTTCTTGTCTATTGGAAGCGTGCATTGGAGTGCTCACTCAACCAAATAATCAGAGATGCCAAATGTGTAGCACCTTTGGAGGAAAGGATTTGATAGGCTAGTTGCTCAGGAATGGGCTAACGCCGTCTGTGTTTTCACATGTTATCATGTGCAACTACCACAAAGGAAGCGTTGGAAACCCCACATATAGCGCTTTGGGGAGTTCTCGTCAGGTCAAGCCGTGCTTCGTCAGGCCGTGTAAATTTTTTGATGTCGTACAATGGCGGCTCCTTCTTTGGGAGCTGCTCTGCAGGTTTTCTTTCTCTTTCTACTGATAGGTTAAAACTGCCTGCCGGTGAAGACCCGGTTTGGTCCTACAGTAGCGAAAGCTAAGGTACGCTTCTGTTTCTGTATAAGCCAAGCTTGTAGATTTGGGACGCTCCACCGTATGCATCATACAGCTGGCCAAATGGAACAAGAGAAACTAGTTACTTAAGGTTCGGAGTCGTTGAAGGTCCTTAACTTGGGCGCGGCGGCGCTTTTTCCGTCCGTGCAGAAAAAATGGTGGCCGAGGAGCGTGTTTCCCAGAAGAAGAAGGATGTAAGTTCGCAACCATTGGGAGATCACCTTGCGGCTGCTTTACCAAATGGTGGACAAGTTGCATTCAGCATCTTCGCTTCTGTTGTGCTTGGCCCTTGCAGTATCGCAAGCGCCTGGCGCAGTATCTGCAGACTTATGACAAGGCGTTCATTGTTAACGCGGACAATGTGGGCTCCAAGCAGTTCATGGACATCCGCAAGGTAGGGACTAACTCTGCTCTATGTTCTCCGCGTTGGCCCTCCTCCAACTGTATTCAGTTCGTGAACCAAAGGCGTGAACCAATCTTCACGGTTACTGTTGTGCAAGACACAGACGTCGATGGGTATGAAGTGGATTACCTGGGGAGGAGAACGGATGACATTCGCCTTGCATTAGGACTCCCCTCTCCCCTCACCGATTTTCTTGGTGGGCGAATGTCGCGTGGCCTGCCTTGTAGGCTCTTCGCCCCAACAGCGTCATCCTGATGGGCAAGAACACGATGATGCGGTATTGCGTTGAGAAGTACCTGGAGGAGACCGGCGACCACCGCTGGGAGTGCCTCGTGAAGCCTGGCAAGAAAGGCCTGCTGGAGGGCAACGTCGGCATCGTGTTCACCAATGGCGACCTCAGCCAGGTGAGTGCTTACTGCTACCCTGTTTGAATTCTTCGCGGCGCACGTGCATACACACAATGCTGCTCAACCGAACTTGGAGCTTTGTCCAATTTCCGAATTGTTTCCACAGGTCAAAGATGAGATTGCCAAGTACAAGGTCGGTGCCCCAGCTCGCGTGGGCGCCACCGCTAACGAGGACGTCGTCATTAAGGCCGGCGGTACCGGCATGGATCCTTCCCAGACGTCGTTCTTCCAGGCCCTGGGCATTGCCACGAAGATTAACAAGGGTACAATTGAGATTGTGTCTGACGTGGTCGTCGTGAAGACTGGTGACCGTGTTGGCGCGTCTCAGGCTACCCTGCTGGCCAAGCTGGGGATCAAGCCCTTCAAGTACGGCCTGCAGATCCTCAAGGTACACCATACTGGAAAATGCAATGGTTTGAAAATCTTGGAAATAGTTGGAAGTTGCTGCTTGCGTCCACAGCGTGGGGGTGGTAGGCTGTCTGGGCCACGATGGCGAGCAATATGAACCAAAAAGTGGTTCCTGATAGCATGGCCTCCATCTACGCGTGCGCACTCTGCTTCACCGTTCCCTTCGTCTTGCGGCGTCCGCAGGTGATCGAGTCGGGTGCTGTGTACGACCCCAAGGTCATGGAGATCACGGACGAGGATATTCTGTCTTCGGTCATGACCGCCATCCGCGAGGTGTCAGCTCTGTCCCTGGGTGCCAGGTACCCCACTCTGGTCGCTGCCCCTCACGTCATCATCGACGGCTACAAGAACGTGCTGGCCATTGCTCTCGAGACCGACTACACCTTCCCGCTGGCTCAGAAGGTGAGGAAAGGGGTTTGCATGACATCGTTGGTTATTGGTCTGTTTTTTGCCTATGGCTACGTAAGTCTAGGCGTGGTTGTTGTGATCTGCATTTCTGTATACGTTTTCTAAGCACCTGCAACTGCCTGTGGCGGCCTTACATGACAATGTTTGGTTCCGTGTGTCGTACAGGTCAAGGATTACCTTGCGGACCCGTCCAAGTTCGCCGCCGCGGCTGCCCCGGCTGCTGGCGCGGCCGCCGCTGCCCCGGCTGCCAAGGAGGAACCGAAGAAGGAGGAGCCCTCTGAGGAGGAGGATATGGGCTTCTCGCTGTTTGACTAAGTTCTCCTTTGGGATGCGGTGATGGAACAATGGTTCTGCGAGCTGCCGTCTTGTATCGGATGTCCTTCTGCAGAAAGTTGGAATCAGTTCTCTGATGGCATGTTCACGCTGTAAGCAATGACGCAACCTTAGATTCTCACCATGTACCGCACGTGCAACGAATGGGTTCATTTCCAAGGCGGAATAACAGCATGTCACTTAGCCTAGTTGGGCCAGTCAGGCCCAATGAACCCGGATTCCTGGACCCTAGCTACGAGTTGACACATGAAAAACGCTGCCAATCATATAAACAAAAGTAATTTTTTTTCGCTGGCTTGCCGGATGCAATCACCAGTCCGCCAGCGTGTAACGTGTATGACAACTCCCTACTCTACGTCACTTTCCCTTGGAGCCCATTGATACGGTGCTAAGTAACACCGGGAGAATGTCACAGCTGGTTCTTACTTTGGATTTTAGTGCCGATAGCTTGTGCACAGCTGGCACCGAGTGCAGGCCCGGTGTTGTGCCTTGAGGACCGAATTGAGCATATGCTTGACGAGCTTCACGTCGCACAGCCAGCAGAGGTTCCTATTTCCAAATACAATGCCGTCTTTTCTTAAAGGCGATGGGGACGCCCTAATCCTGGTCCAAGCCGAGGCTTGTGTAACGTTATCCTCGCCCATGTGTCTAAATACCCACTAAAGTTGTAGAATTGAACGACGATAAGGATTTTGAAATTTATTAAGCCAGCAGGTACCGCTGCCATTAATAGAGCACCATTCATTTGGTTTTGACTGGTGGACAGGTGAGGAGCCCGGGCTTCAAAACTGCCCCAGCTGCCATTGCTGGCTCCCACTAATCCACAGGGACAGTATTTTCCAGAGCCAGCCAGCCAGAAAGAGCCAGACGAATGTGAGCCATCGGGACAGTTGGGGGGAAAATCCCTTTCCCGTGGCATGAATCCACATGTCCCGCAACCGAGAAGATGCCTCATGCAGGGGCTTCCTACTTTAAAACTTTGGTCGGATATGCCCGCTGATACGGACCTGAAACTCCTGCTAATCTGCACACCACACGTTGCATCGCATGTTCTGCACGTATTTCCTGCCTCTTTGATGGACTCCTTTCATGTCGATTTTTCGCAGGCTAACGTAGTGACCATCAGCTTTCGCCACTGGATCATGCCGGCCTCTGCCGTTACGTTAAAATAGGATGTAGGAGCATATACACGTAGACAAGGCTTGAAACAGCAAAGATAGTCGTAAAAATAGCTTGCATCCTAAAGTCATATAGAGGAAGGTATACGTCTTTCTTTGTTACTCAATAAAATGGCGCTCAAGAATGCATATCATCCGGTAGCACATCTTCTCGTTTATGAGCCACTGGGCGCGTGACTAGGAGGTAGAGTTAAAATAGTGAAGTGCACGAACTCACCATGCCAGTCTCAAAAGCTCAAAGCACATACGCGTTATGGTTAAACTGATGATTACGATAAAAAGATGCGGCATCGCTCTGCAATGTCCGAGTACTACCTGGATCGTACGTTGCCCCAAAAAACGTATCGTTACCCAGTCCCTTACTTTGATTTTCTTTAGGCAAAGTGTTCTGTATGGATTTGGCTAGCTCCCGCATGCCTGAGGTTAGCATAGTGGGCTAGAAATGACTCAGGCATCGTCTAGCCGTTGAGGATTTTGCTGTGTCCCATTAACACCAATAAGCATGTTAATCGCGAGGCGTTGATTTGAGTTGCACGTTAGCATCATGGCTGCCGCAGCCTGGCAGCCGACCCAGGACGGTGTGCTTCAGCTAGTCAATTTACTGACCCTTTACCAGCAGCCTGGGACCAATCAGAGCAAGGTTAGCCTTCTGATGTCACCAGCGTGGTACTTCGCTTGCGATTCTGCTGGGTGTCGCACTCGTGGGTCTGGATCGACAACTTTCCAAGGCACAAAACATGTATGATTGCAGGTGTTCCAGCAGCTTGAGGGCTATAGAGCATATCCCGACTTTAATAATTACCTGGCCTTCATCTTCGCGACAGGGGAGCAGCTGCCTGTGGAGGTATGGCACCGCGGGTCTCCCCGGTCCAGCGCCGTGTTAACTAGACGCCCCCCGACGTGTCCAACACGCAGGTGCGCCAGAGCGCAGGATTGCTGCTTAAGAATAACCTTAGCAAGCAATATAAGGATCTCCCAGCGGAATTCAAGGCATTTATCAAGGCAGGTTGTCGCGTGCTCTCACACCCCTTGTTTATTGGGATCTGTAACGGCGATGCAGCAACGGCGATGCAGTGCTGGTATACAGGGGACATGTTGCCAGTTTCCACAGGGCTCAACGAACATACTACCTACTTAGACGGGGCTGATAGGTGCGGATACCAATCGCAGTCCACATCATGGGATGGATTGAACCCGAAGCCGATGGGGAGCGATGGGGAGCGTGTGCAATAGGGGCCGGTTTTGAATGCATGATAGAACACCCTGTGGGGTTTGGAGGGAGTTATGGATTGGAGGTGCCCTTTTCTTGTCCGCCGAACTCGGGCAGCACCCAGCGATGCCGTGGGATTGCGTGCGATGTATTATATTCCCTTTGCGCAGATATCACATAGCACTTTGCTTTTAGCTTCAGGTTATTAGGCTAGCATGTGTAGTAATGGGTGTATAGAAGGGCATAGAAGCGCAATCAGGTCCTCTCCCCACCCAACGCTTCAGTCATGCTATGATTGTCTGCAGGGGGCTCTTCTGCCGCTATTGGGCCATGTAAACCGGCAGCTGCGCCATACTTCCGGCACAATTGCTTCCGTTATCACGGGACTTGGCGGCTTGGACGAATGGCCGGAGCTCGCAGCGGCATTACCTCACTGCCTGCAGGCCGAGGACGCAAACGTGTTGGATGGTGCCCTAGACACACTATACAAGGTACCACGTAGGCGTGGGCGCCTGCGTGGCAGTTTGCCCTCAGCCGCACAGCCGTAGGATTTAGGGCAACGTAAAGGATGCCAAATCCTGAGCAAATTTGAATGGCTTTAGGACGGATGCAGCACGGCGGCTGTTCACTGGCTCAATGCACTCCTTTAACGCTTCATGTTAACGCTGCGTTTTGCATGATTTATTATCATTTATCTTGCCTCAGCGCTGGCGACTACTGACTGCCAATTATGGTATGCCTGATTTTGCTAGGTCAAGGTAGGGTCTGTTACTCGCAACAGGTCCCTGCGACGGTCCTTTTGCAACGGGCCCCTGAGACGGGGGAGACCAGTACGTTTGTAAGCGGCGTATGTGAGCTTTTAAAGTTGTCTCGGGGGTTCGCCGTTTTCCACACGCAGATTCTGGAGGATCATCCTAGCCAGATAGAGGTGGAGCTGGCGGGCGCTGGCGGGGCGCTGGCTAGCAGCCTTCTGGTCCCGCCCCTGCTGCAGCTGATGCGATCACCAGTTGACGATGTTAGGTGCATGGCTGTGGCCTGCCTGAACCTCATGGCGCCGCACATGCCGAAGGGGCTGCAGGACAATGTAGACGGGTAAGGCGGCAGGCCCAAAGTTGCATGTTCCAGCAAGAATTATGTGCCCATGCGTGAATTATGCATTTGGCAGGGTTGCAACCCTAATCGTGCACTGCTTTGGCGTGAGTGATTTCTTAAAGCGCCTTTGATTACACGGCACGTGCCGCATGCTTGAATAACATGGCAATTTGCTGGAGGACCTGCTGCTCTGCGAGATCGTCGATATGCCCAAGCTATTGGATTGGCAGTATGGCAGAGGCATCTGCGAGGCACTTGGACCGAAGAGGGGAAGCACGCCTACCATAGCCTATTGCCACGGCTCCATGTATCCCTTAAGCCCAGCTCTTAGCCGCATGTCCCAACAGTCCCCACTACGCTCACTTTTGCTACGAGTGTTCACTGGGTTCTTCGCTGCGTCAGGGCACACCTCTCATCAGCTTAGCCCTTGCCGTCTCCTGATCGCCGCGTACACTGCCATTCCGAAACTGCGCTGTACTGTTCGAGTACAGCTACCTGCAGGGCTTGTTTGCGCTGGCAAACGACTCCTCCAACCGTGTGCGCAAGGAGGTGGTGTCGGGACTGGTGGCAAGCACGACCACTCTGGCGGACAAGCTGGTGCCCTTCATGGCCCAGTTGGTGGAGTACATGCTGGCGTCCAATGAGCACTCGGATCCGGCGGTAGCGCTGGCGGCGGCGGAGTTCTGGACGGCGTACCTGGACCTGCAACTGGACCCCGGGCTTCTGAGGCCGTACTTGGCACGGCTTATACCGGTCCTGCTTAAAAATATGGTAAGCGAGTTGTCGGCTTCGAGTCATGGCAAGGATCGCGGCCGTGGGGTCTGCTGTCTAAAGGGCTTTTATGGAACAGGCCTTGATGTTGATAACCCAAATTAGGAAGCAGCGGTCCATTGGGAAGTTGTAGAACGGCGCGGCCTTCCAGCTTTTGTTGACGTAGCAGTCCTGCTGCAGTCCTGAGAACGTCGGCGCGAAAGCTTAAAACGTTTGGCATTTGTTAGTTCCGTGGCCGTGCTGATGGGAGGAGTGGCTGGGGTAACCATGTCTGGTAGTATTTAGGTACATATGCTGGCTAGCAGCCCTGCCTTTCTTGCGTCTGCTTTGCAGCTGCGTCTTTATTGTCGTTGTGTTCCCGCTCACACAACACCGTAAACGGCAGGTGTTCGACGAGTATGACGATGAAGTGGCAGAGGCGGAGGCCGCTGAAAGTGCGCCCACTCAGAAGGAGGACCGCGACCAGGACGTCAAGCCGTTCATGCCTCGGACCAGGTCGGTGTGTGCAACAGCTCAATGCTGCATGTCAGTCGTACGTTCGCCGGGTCAAAGACCAATGCGGCTCTTGCTTTCCGCCGGAAGAATTTTCATTGCTTGACGCCACGTCGCTACAAGGTCGGCTTACGGGACCTGCCCTGCTGATTTGCATGGCAGAATGCAGTAGAATATGGAGCCGTTGCTTAAGGATAATCCCTGCGATGGCTTTCATTGCAGGGAGCATGGGCCCTCCGCGGGTGAAGCCGATGGCGGAGATGATGCCGCGGGCGGCGATAACGGGGCGGATGACGACGATGAGATGTTCAGTGCCTGGAATCTTCGGAAATGCAGCGCAGAGGCGCTTGACATGCTGTCCAATAATTTTGGGGATGACTTGCTGCCGGTGTTGCTTCCTATCGTTCAGCAGCGGCTACAGGTGGGCATGGCTTCTGTGCGCTGTTGAGGGGAGCTTGGCGCATATACTACCATGCAAGTCACTTTGTTTTATACATTCGGCTTTTACGCATCATAAATGGGAGGTAAGGTTGAAGGAAATTGCTGCAGCTGAAAGTAGATGCGCGTCGTTGGTTACAAATGGCAAGCGCCAGGCGGCTCTTAAGTTTCGGGATTTTTCTATACGCGGTTGGGTTACAGAAAGCGCGGTCTACCCCGCCGCGGCAGTTTGCTTGATTGGTTCGGCAGAGACCGGAGGCCGCGCTTGCTTCCCGCTTCGCAGGACACCAACTGGCGATCTCGGGAGTCCGCCATCTTGGCGCTGGGTGCGGTCTGCCACGGCTGTCACGCGGGTCTGCAGCCATACCTGGAGGGTATGATCCACATGCTGCTGCCCGCTCTGCAAGATGCACGGCCCATGGTGCGGATTATTACGTGCTGGACGTTAGGGCGGTATAGCCATTGGCTCTTCCAGGGTGAGTGCGATTGGAGGACATCCTCACGTACGTTGAAGTGTGACATGGACGCATGGTAGTGCACATTACACTTTGCCTTATAGCTGAGTACCCGAGTAATGCAATACCCTCTTCCAAATGTGTGCACGTGCGGGGTTCTGGATGTCTACATGGTTTGTGTGGTCAATTATAAGTTGCTACAGTGACGTGCAACATGTCAATAGCACGGTGACCCTTGGCATGGTTCCGATACCACTGCAAGCACGGCCTTCGCCTAACGCTGTTATGCCACTATTTTAGGAGTGGTGGACCGCGGGCAGGCTGGCAGGCCGCTGCTCAACGAAGTCATGGCTGGCGTTCTTCGAAGCATGGGCGATAACAACAAGTTCGTGCAAGCCGCAGCGGTCAGCTCGCTGGCTGTCATTGTAGAGGCTGCTGGTGAAGGGCACCAAAACCCTGATAACCTCTTGGAGCCTTACACCAAGGTGCGCACAGAGCGTGCAGTAACAAGGTCGATTAAGCCAGCAATGTCATCAGCACGCACCACGTGGTATCTCGGACAGTGCTTTATCGCGCGGGTGGTTGCCGCGGGAGCTATTGCACAGCTTTAGTCTTTCTCTTTGAGTGCGGTCCAGGCAGCGCTGGCGTGCGTCGAGGGCATAGAGTTTTAATTTTTTATTTATGCAAAACATTACTGAAAAATACTGACCTGCTGGAACAACCTGTCCTTATTGTTAGATGATTGTAATCGTTATTGCATTCAACTTTTGCACTGCCGCAGGCAATCTTGGAGGCCCTTGCTGCCGCACTTACCCGCTATACTCGACGTGGCGTCGTAGTTACATACGATGCGCTGGCGTGCACGGCGCGGGTTCTGGGGTCGCGTATGTCCGACCCAGCGATCGCGGGTATCGTTCTGCCGCCCCTTGTGCATAAGTTCACATCTGCTCCTCTTGCGGACAAGGTGCGAATGGGTTGGGTTGATGCCAGGACCAGGTGCGCAAAACCCCTGGTTGCAACGCACATCAACTGTGCTTAGGCTGCGAAACCCGCACTGGTGGTAAAGATTCCCCACAGCATGCAATTTGATCCGCCTTGTCATGTAAGAGTTGTGGCAAAGCTTGGGCAGCAGTCTTATGGCGGCCCAATACCTAGATGGCGCATTGTAACCGCGCATTTTCAAAAATCGCAATCGCCTACCACGGCACAGGACTTGCTGGCGACTATGGAGTGTCTAGCAAACGTGACGCCGCACATTGGTCGTGCAATGGAGGTTTACGCGAAAGCTTTGTATGATAAGGCGATCGCGCTAGCCGGGGCGTACATTCACGCTGGGCAGCAGCAGCAGCAGCCAGGGGCTGAGGCAACTGCATCAACCGCTGCAGCCGCCGGTGGAGCAACCGCAAACGGAGGGGGTATTGAGTATGACCCTAACTATGTTGTCCTGGCTCTGGACGTCCTCAGCGGGCTAGCGCAAGGCTTACGGGCGAGCATCGAGTCGCTTGTCGCGGCAAGTCCTCTTGTGCAGATGTTACTGATATGCTGCTCGTAAGTGGCTTGCAGGACCTGCTGTTGGGCTATTCCCATGACTTGAGGTGTCGGGGTATACGATTTGGGTTTACATGGCGCAGACGTGATGGTATTAGGTATTCATGGAGTTGATCAAGTAATCCCCAGTGGTCCGGGCATGCAGGGGCAAAAATGTCCCCATCCCTTTCTTCAGCCGGCCTACTTCTATTGCTATCACTGCACTTTCCCAATATTGAGACGCGGCACCTCTCCCGTGCAACTGTAGGGACCAGTCCCCAGATATCCGACAGAGCGCATTTGCGCTCATAGGTGATCTGGCGTCGGCGTGCGTGGCCCACTTGCTTCCTGTGCTAGAGCCGCTGGTAAGCTGCTCGCTGACGATGCTGGAGCTGCCGCGCATTACGGACGCTAACCTGGCCGCGGCCAACAACGCCTGCTGGTCGCTTGGCGAGGTGATAGTTAAGGTCGACACCCAGCGCATCGTCCCGCATGCAGGTGAGCTTTGCAGGCAGATCTGGACACTGCTGTTCGGTGCACCTATGGCCGCCATAGGGGGCCACGTCAGTGACGGGTGAACACTGGCTGCTCGCGCACACGCCAGGCCATCGCCCGTTTACGACGATCATGTTTCGCTTTTTCAACCGCGTTGTCATCCTGTCGTTCGCAGAGGCCATTGCGCACCGTGTCGCCTCGATCCTGTCTTACACGGGTCCGGGTCGTATGCCGCCCTCTATATTGGAAAACTGCTCCATCACCCTCGGCCGCACCGCCTGGCGATGCGCCGACCAGCTGGCTCCGCACCTTGGGCATTTCGCGCTTCCGTGGTGTACACAACTTCGCAACATCCGGGATGGCACTGAGAAGGAGCACGCTTTTCTCGGTCTGTGCAGGTAAGGGCAGGCATTGCCATTCCTGGTTTACGATGGGAACTGCACTTTGAAGCTCTTCAAACACTGTTTTCCGGTTGAATGCTACCACACGATTGAGCATCGCCACGTCAATCTTTATCCCGTGCAGGCTTGTCCGCATGAATCCGGAGGCTGCCTTGCCGGCGTTTCCAATGCTGTGCTCAGCGTTCGCCTCATGGCGGCGGGTTGGTTGTGAGGGGCTTCGAAACGAGATGGCGCAGATATTGCAACTGTACAAGGCGAATCTCGTGGCCTTGGGCCGCTGGGAAGTGGTTTTTGGTGACGTTCCCGACGCCGTCCGAGGGAAACTGGTGCAAATGTTTGGACAGGCGCTGTAATATTTTAGCATAAACACGACCAAGGGTTTACAAGCTCTCGACACTATGTCGACGAAGGGGCGGACACACAATCCACGCTGCCGAAAGACACCCCACCTCGAGACGATAGCAACAAGGAAAAAAACCAGGACAACTGTAGCTGCCAAAAAACCGCTTGTATTACCAAGCCAGCAAATACAAGACCCTTCATCTCGGACAAGAATGCAGCATCGCAAATCCTAACGATCGACTGCACCACTTACACAAATCCGATCTACGCCTTCTCCTTTGCCACCCACTTCTACTGCCACCTGCACGATCGGTCATGTCAAAACCCGATTTCCAGAAATAGGTGGTATGTCCATACTATGTAACGCCTTCATTCCACATTATCCATGCCAACCTCGTTACTGCTTGCACAGAGTAATATGCCGCAGCACCGTGTCCTCCGCACCGGCCTCCGGGTTTGATAGGAGCAGCTGAACAGCACGGCCGGTCTGGCGGCTGGCAACGTAAGAGTAAAGGACGTAAATCCCCTCCCATTCCCTGGGGACGCAAAAAAAACGCAAAGGGGCGTTATACAAGGCATGACAGGGTAGACAACGTCCTGCGCAACCGTCTACGCCAAACCATGTCGCCCACCCGCATGCGAGAACACTCACTTCTTAATAGGGTACGCCAGTTTGCTCCGCCCCCTCACAAGGGCATTGATCTCATAGCACTCCTGCTTGTTCAGGTACGCCTCGAACTTAGCCAGCTCCCGGTCCCTGTGCGGAGGGCACGCAAATCCGCAACCATCAATTGCCAGGTCCCCGAAACTTCTTCCCCCAGTAAATTCATAGGCCCAGCCCTCCTCATAGGCCGCACCTCTCCTCGTCGCTGAGAGACGGCTTCAAAATCATCATGGTCTCGTAACTACAAAAAGGAGTTTCAAACAACGTCTGTAAACGACTTAATATTGACAGCGGAGCAAAGCAATCATGCCCACCGATGGAAGCCAAGGGGCAGCTTTTTGGGCTCCTCAACAACAGCGTCGACAGCAGCAGCGGCAACGATCTGCATATTGCATAGTAAATATTATCATACAGAACATAATCTTGAGTGGAAGAGGTGCTCGGTTAGGGCACAGCCGCACCTGGGGCATCGCGCGGCCAGCCACGGCGCGCTGCTGCCGGCCAGCCGTGCGGGCAACATGGCGCTGGAAGCAAAGATGATGAGCAATTGGCCGGGCAGCGACCAGGCTTGCGGTAGTGCCCGCCCGGGCGGTGGCAGTGCACGAGCGCTGCGTTGTGGCCATAGTTGACGACCACGGTAACCTAGGGAAATACTCTACAGAGTTACAAGACACCGCGGATGCCCAAAGAGATACAATCTTTAACCTTTCAAAAGAAATATTTTTTAAGCCGACAACTCCGCTTAGCCCCATCCGCTGTACGGCCTCAATAGGCCTCAAGTAAGAAGCCGGTTCTAAGACCTCGTTGCAGAACTACCCACGAAAACGTGCCTAAATGTTGTTGCTGCTAAGACAGTGGCCACGAACTGAAACCTCTGACTCCTGCAAACGCTACCTAGCGCGCACAGTTTGCTTGGGGCCCGCAGGGGCCACTAATTACTACCCAACATAGAGCTATAAACAGAAGAGAACTAAAATATGGACTCGGACAGGTGAGCTTGCGGATATGGCCAGTTACTTAGCTACGCATGCGACGATACGTAAAAGTTAGCGTCCACTGCCCCACAGCGATGATGAGAGAGCCGCGGGTTACGTGCCGGTACTTGCGGCGACGATGTCGATGGCCGCACGCGGTGTCAGCTCGCCACAACGGCCGGAATCCGCTTCTGTTCTTCGGGATGGAGGTGGGTCCTGGCCGTAGTCGAGGAACAACATTTTTGCCAGCCTTGGCGTTTATGCTCATCTATTCGTGGCATTTTGCCTCCTGGCTCTTACTGTAGTGTCCTTGTATACCAACGAGCTCTTTACGGACGGAGATGTGCTAGCTGAAGGACCCACTGTCGCAAGCCCGAACGGAACAGCAGCGCCAGGGCGAAGAGGGCCATCTCTTGCTGCAAAACGGCAGGAGCGGCTGCAGGCAGGGGCGACGTATACGCCGAACTCGCTCCACAAAAATCCTTCATTACGGGCACCGCCTCCGGTAACTTCAAAAAGCTTGACAGACTCGCCGTCGTTCCGGCCTTCACCTTTGTCGCAAACCGGAGGTTCGGGTACTGATGCTGTGTCTACGGCTGGCAGCAGCCAGGGTGGCATCGGGCTGATCCATGGGCTACGGCCGTCCTATGATCCAAATGATGAAGCGTCCAGCACAGCTCAAGAGAAGCAGATTGCAGTTGCTCCCCGGAATGGGCTGCAGTTCGACCTTAACGACAAACCGGCGTTCCTCATGATGCCAGGCCCTAAGAATGGCCCCGTCCAGTGCGTTATCGTTCGGGACAGGGGGTCTGTGAAGATGTATCCGCGCTATTCGTTGTACTTAGAGGAGGGCCGGCGATTCCTGCTCTCAGCACGAAAGCGCAAGAAGCAGACGACGAGCAACTACGTAATTTCGTTAAAACAAGACGACCTCAGCCGCGAGAGCGGCTCCTTTTTTGGGAAAGTTCGGGCAAATTTCGTGGGGACGGAGTTCACCATTTACGACAAGGGCCTCAAGCCAGGCAAGAAGGATGCGTCCGAGGGGGAACTACGCCAGGAGCTTGCCGCGGTGACATATCAGTACAACGTGCTTGGCACTCGAGGACCCCGGAAGATGATGGCGGCTATCCCCTCTGTCGATGGGACCGGCCGAAGGCTGTACCACCCGACTAGCGAGGCGGACTGCATCCTTGAACGGTAAGGATGCAGCACTCAGCCGAAACCCTCGCAAGACTGCCCATAAAGACGCGTGTAAGAGTTATTAAGAGGTGCCGACAAAGAAGGGGGGGGGACAGCGTGTTACAGCGAGCAAATGATCCACACCCAGAGGCGGCAACTGTGAATTGCAGGATTCGGCATCGGAAAGGATTGGAAGAGCTGGTCGTGATGGGCAACAAGCCACCACGCTGGAACGACGAGGTGAGCTGGGCTTGCGAGTTCGGCTGTGAAATAGTAAAGTATAGGTTTGTGTCTGTACTGCACTCAACGATATTGAGGAATCTTATTGTATCGCCCCTGTCCGGTTGCAGCTCAACGCCTACTGTCTCAACTTTAATGGGCGGGTGACCGAGGCATCCGTTAAGAACTTCCAGCTGGTGTCTGATGACAACCACAATCACATCATCCTCCAGTTCGGCAAGGTAGGCTCTATGCGCATGTTATGCTTACCAGGATAACGTGATGTTCGGTACTATATGATGTCAAGTGGCACTTTGGAGTCTTTGGGATTGAATAGGTGCTACCCAAAGAACTGCAACTTAGTGAATAGTGGTTTTAGTCACGGAACGAAAATCCTGAAGCGCCTCGTACTAGATGCTGTCTAATTTTTGCAACGTGATGCCATGGTGGTTGCGGTCCCTTACTGGCGATCTGTGTTGGCATGTCGGTAGTCAGCCGTAGGGAACGGTTCGCCTTGTTCCTGCAAAGTTGAAGCTTATCCTTTAGTAGCCCCTTACGGTCCTGGACGGCCCGTGCATCGTGCAGGTGGGCAAGGACTCATTCACTATGGACTACCAGTGGCCCATCTCCGCCTTCCAGGCGTTCGCAATTTGCATGTCCTCCTTCGACAACAAGCTTGCGTGTGAATAAACATGTTTATAGGTGGTTTGGTGCCACAGACATGCATAGTTAAGAGCAAGCGACTATATGGGGGTTGCTGAAGCACGTGTTTTCCTCACTCGAGGACGCTGCGAGCAGCAGCTCTAAAGCGCTGTATTATAGTTAAATGGCGATAACTGATTTTCCGCTGGGACTGCGGCAGAGCATGGTGATCCGGGAGGGAAACAACTCGCCAGTCGGCGTTGTAGATGCGTACATGGGTATAATTGCTGACATACGACTTGACAGTGTAACGGCAGGGTTGTCGTACTTTGACATGGTATTATGTTGGACGGTGCATTGGATGGGCAGTTCTGTTACGAGACATATACGCTTGTTGTTGGAGTTCTGGCCTAGAAACTGCTACAGTTTAACGCCACAAAAGCTGTGACCAGTTATCACTGTCGTCGCTGCATGTATATGTGGGAGCTTGGGCGTCGTCGGCCCCAAAATCGCTGGGGCATCGTCATGTAACGTCACTTCAACAACGCGATTATAGCCACACGTGTACACGCTGTCAATGCTTCAGTCCAGGCATAATTCATCGACAGCCGCGTGCGTAGGGTGTTTTGAGTTGGATTTTGGGTTAGGGAGGGGGCTGGGTTTGACATTTTACCTGATGGGAAGTGGGGTCGAGACCGAGGGAGAGATTGATATTCGGGTTGAAACAATCATGCATTGCAAGAGCACGAAACAGACCTTATAACAACTTCCCCGGGAACATCTGCTTGCTTGCCCGTCGCCCAGTAGGCTAGTTTTTCGCCACTATGACCATAATGGACACATCTCCACAGACAGCAAACAAACATATGTGTCTGCGTGTCAACGTGACTGCTTGCGGGTTGCGGTTGGACCGCAACTGCCAGGAGTTTGGCTACGCATGCTACTTTACCTGGATTCGCATTCACTTGGCTGCAACGTCTGGGCGAGAAACGCTGCCGTGTGCAGTGTGAAAGTAAAGGGCCTGCTTCAGAGCCCACACGCTCAACAGTGCAGTAACTGCAGGGGGGCTGCCCCCTTTCCCAGCTTTGACGAAGACGACATCTTACTTTCATACGCATTCGCAGGTTAGCTCAGCCATGCAATTCGACCTCTTTAGCAATCTTTCCTCCATCTTAACACTCCCTAACTCACTTACTCCAACCAATCACTACTTATTCCTTGCAACAAAGCTTGGCGAGTAGTTTGCCGTCTTGCGGCATTGCATACCTTTAGTTAGAAGCAACGGACGGTGTGACAGAACAATGTCAACCGGTTCTCGCCGGTGAGGAGGCGAACGTTGGCGTGAGGTACTAATAATGAATGCATATACTGGTCTACTCAAATTAATCTGCAAAACAGGACGTGGACAGATCAGGAGGTCGGCATAGGCGGGCACGAGCGCTTTGCCCTCGAGCTTGAATTCGTTCAATGTCTCGCGAACCCCCTTTACATCAATTGTGAGTTTCTCAGCATGGCACGAGCCTGTGCCATGCTCATATTCACTCCCCGGCTTATCCCGCAGGGCTTGCAACGAAGCAGTACTTCGAAAATCCTTCCTTCATCAACTACCTCAAGTATCTGCAGTATTGGAAGCAACCCGCATATGCTATCCATATCACGTAAGCTACGGTCAGACAAATGGCGTTCCCGGACACCTCATTATGTGTACACGAGGTTGCTGTGTTTTCCTTCCAGCCAAGGCCGGGGTCTAAGGGATAACGCATGCAAAGCCAGGGGAAGTGAAAACTGGGAGAGGGGTTTCGCAAACTCAAGTTGCGGTGCTCGGTGGCCTGCAGGTATCCGCATTGCCTGTTCTTTCTGGACCTCCTCCAGGATGCGGACTTCAGATCGGCTATTAAGGATTTCTCCTATGCAGAACACATTCGTCAAGCCCAGGAAACCTTCTTTCGGAACTTCCATAGCAATCGTGTTGCTGATACCGCTGGTGCTGTGCAAGCCAATGCCACTGGCAGTTTTGTCCCTGCCAAGTAGCTGCTATCCGGTGTGCGTCGATGCGCGTCTGACATATCACGCCTTAGACTCCATGGCGTTCGAAGCTGCAGTTCAACTGGCAACGTCGAGCAAGCAAATGTGGATTGCTTGGAGGGTGCAATGACATTAATTCTGTCTGGCATGCTTGTACAATGAAAGGTTGGCGCTTGCGGCCTATTTGCTAGTCACAAATGCGCCCAAACATGGGGACACCAGACGTGGCATTACCATTAGCAATGTCATGCCTGGGATATGCACAATGCAACACATGGGTCACTGTCTCATTGCCCCGTGCTATTTTATTTAACTTTACGCTGCTGCCTGGCTCTTCATCACATTGGCGCGGATGCAGTCATCTAGTCGCTCCAGTTGCTCCTGCAAAGTGTCGTACTCGTGCGAGACGTTGAAGATGCGATACGCCTTCACTGCCCCATCCTCGCCGCCGCACACCACTACCGGGTAGTTGGGCGCGAACAGTAAGCAGGACAGCTTCATCGTGGTCTTCTGGTGCATCACCGGTTTGACGGTTGACAAGGAGAAGTCCCAGATCTGCAATAAAGCGTTGCACATGGGGCGTGACACAGCTTAGAAGTCCACAGCCGATATGTCAGGCACTTACGGTCGTTTTCGAGGTTACCGGGAACAATCGCAGGCATTCAAGATGAGAACCCTAAGATCCCACCTCCAAACGCCCGCTGGCTGTCACGGAACCAAAAACCGTTGAGTTTGTAGGACACCACTGCACGTCATTGATCTCGTTAGTGGACGCCTGGAAAGTCAGAAGCGGCGTGTCGCGCCCCTCCTGCCACATGCGTATTGTCCAGTCCCCAGATGCGGATATGAACATGTCGCGTTTAAATGGTGAGAACTGCACTTGGTACACAGGGCCCATATGTCCCCTGTACGACTCCAGATATTGCTCGCTGTATGACGTGCTGCATTTATGTAGCCAGCCATCTTCCGTAGCCGCCACATAGATGCGCTCATCTCGGGATGAGAAATCGAACGCCATGCCCGAAGTAAGGCGACTTATGAAGGCGTCCTGCTGCTCAGGCACTGCTGCGGCCGCCTTGGCGCCGCCGTCCTTGGCGGCTGCAGCAGCGGATGTGGATGGTGGCCCGCCGGCCCCACGACGAGCCATGCGCTTTAATTTCATAAGATCCGAGAACTCAAGACCCTTGGCGATAGACCACTGGGTTACGCGGCCGTCTGTGGAGATGGACACTAGGGGTTCATCGCGCTCGGGGCCGTGGTCCAGCCATTTGACCTGAAAAGGGAAATGGTGAAAGGATGGATGGCCCCAATGGTGGTTCACGAGATGGCACACGGTGGACACCGCATGATGAAATACAAACCCTCACGGCCCCCTACCTTCACGGCACAACCGTCAAGGGCCCCACCTAGCTGTGAGTACCTGCTGCGCCTAGAGGCGGGGTCACTGCGCACACACATGCCGCTGCCGCACCTTCCATACGGGGTCTGAATGCTTGCCGCTGTGCACATCGCTCTCCATAGAAGGCGTGCCCTGCCGCGACTTAATGTCGTAAATTGCAACGGTACCATCGTACAGCCCAATCGCCAGCACATTGGGGCTGTATGTGGAGAAATCCAGCGCTGTGACAGCGGCCTTGACCTCAAAGTACCATAGCGGGTGCTGTAAGTTCTTAAGGGACCAAAACGCCACCAAACCCTTGGGCTCTGTGGAGATTCCCCCCTCCGCCGTCGGCTGCGTATTTCCCGATGGGAAGGAGTAGGAGCCGTATCCAACCGCCAGCAGGTCGGAGTTCGTCTTGTTCCAACCCATGCACGCCACATTCTTGCCCGTGGTCATAGGACACACCCAGTCCCACAGATGTTCCATGCGCGGCGCGTCGTCGCCCAGGTCAGCCAGCTCCTGTGGCAGTGGGAAAATAAAGAGCGTCAACGCGATGCCAAGGGGCAAAGTTAACCCTTGAGTTCACTTAGGGTTCACACCCAATTCGCACGCACGCAAGGATTGACGACACATGCTGCACCAGGGGAGAAGGAGGTAGCAGCAACGAGTTGGGCTACTTGTCAGCGAACTGTTCCCTTGGCTTTCAGCAATTTTATTCCCTTGCCAGGTTTGCCCCTAATCATATTGCCGCCCACCCCCGAAACGCCACCATCCACGGAACACCGGGGCCCTAAGCGCCTCGACCCACCTGCAGCAGCTCCTCAGGCCAGTTGCTTTCCGCGACACTGGCCGCGTAGCCGGGCCCATTGAAGCCCCCACCGCCCCCACCGTGGGAGTTTCGTGCGGTCCGGCCATCACCGCCACTGTGCCCGTCACGCAGCGACATGCCCCGACTCATGGGGATACTCCTCTCCGAGGGCTGCCGGCTGAGCTGCCCAGGCTGGTTGCTTGTCCGCGCTTGGATGTGGGGCCCCGAGCGTGCAGCGGTATTCTCGGAGTGGTGGCTGCGGCCTCCGTCAGAGGGCGCGGCACTGAGGGGGCGGGTGTCCCGGCCGGACGCGCCACCGGTGTGGCTGAGCACGTCCGAATCGGCATCGTCTCCAGGACTGCCGCCGCCTGACACTGCGCCGCGCATGACGTTGGCAACATTGGACCGAATCCCGGGCAGCGGCTGAATGTCCCTGAATGTATAGAAGAGGATGGTCTTCAGGGTTGGCGCACACACCATGCACACAGCTTGGATGTGGGAAGGGGAGCGTCAGGCCCCCAAGGGGGTTGACACTTGAAAATGCTGGTTGTGCAGGGAGTTGAGGAATCGCAGGTTAACATCACCAGCCTGCATCGTGTTCAAGGTATCCACGCTGTATGCGTCATACAACGCTGTGCCAGGCGGCGGCACTTCTCTAAACTACATCCATATTTCATCCGCACCTAATAACCTAGGTAAGGCGTGTTTGCCATACGCCCTCTCTAGGAGCCGTGTCCCTTCCATGGCATCCCCATATCACCTGTACAGCAGCAGTTGTTGCAGGTAGTTATTTTGATTGATGGCGTTATCCATGAGCATCAGCGCATCCGGCAGACTGGCCAGAGCTCTTAGCGGGTCCGCGGGTTCGGGTGAAGGGGCGGCTTGCTCCACGGGTACTCCGTTGGGCAGGTTGGCGCTCAGTCCCGACATATGGCCCGAGGCCTGTGTGCCCTGGCCTGTGGAACAGGGGCAGGGCGTTTGAGGCGGTAAGGGGTGGGCGCGGGAAGCACGTGGAAAACATGGCATGGGGAGCAAGGAACCCCCTTGTGGCGGAGCGAGGCCATTCCTTAAAGAGCCGGTAGGCTGCAGCGGAAGCTTCAACACGGGGAACTGAAGGACGGCTGGGGGAAGAGCACCGTTACATGGAGAGGCAGTTGCGATACCATACCCCGCAAGCAATCGGCAGAGTGAAGACTATGGCAAAGGGCAAACGATGTCCCAGCGAGCCTACCCAGCAGTAACAAACAACCCGCCATGCCCTTCGCACCCGACATGTAGCTGGTTCCCCCGGTGAACATCGAGGTGCGGCCCGGGCCCCCAGCATTGGCAGTAGTCCCCCGGGCGCTGACATCCCCGGTGCCCTGCTTGGGGTTGTACTTGGCGACGCCACCTGCCATCTGGCTGATGGACGGCAGGGATGTTCCCACGGCACCCCCCCGCGGGTCGTCATCGGCGTCCGCGGCGGCCTAAAGGGAGGTGCAGGGGTGCGTACCACGTCAGAGAAAAAAGCCAGTGGAGCGTCATGAAACCGTGTGCGTGAGCATGTGCGCTGCGGTTGCTGGTCTGAGCCTTTATTAAGCGCAGGTATCTAACCCCGACCGGTCCCCCCGGATGTTTTAAGAGTGCACGACGAACCGCGTACCGTAGCCACCATAACCGTGCGCCATCGCCCTCAAGCAGAGAGAGCATACACGGATGCAAAAAGTGCGCAATGCCGTCCCCCACCAACACCTGCCCGCGCGGGTCCCAACGACACTGCCCAACTCGCACGATTACGCGCAACGCAGCCGCGCAGCCCCGAGCGAACATCCCGGTAACCGTGACCACTCCGCACCTATGGTGTTAACATCTCGCGAGACCCCTGACGACGGCCCTACCGCTGGTACCAGCTGCAACACGCTACCGGCCCCGCACCCACCTCATCCAGGGCTCGGAAGGTGTCCGAGATATCCCACGCAGTGGCCTGCATCCCGGTGTTCCGGGTCACCAGCACAGCGGACTGGACGTCACGGCTCTTGGTGAGGGCCACCAGCGTCTGGGCCTCCGCGTCAACGTACTTGTCGGTAGCCTGGAGATGCAGATGGAGGTGCAGCGCGGGTTACAGGAAAACGGTGGTCGGGGAGAGGACTCAATGGTGGGAAATTTACGACACGGACACGAAGGGAAAATGAGGAGAGGAAGGAAAGGGAACGGATGTACGCGTCAAGGCAATCCTCCTTCCCTTTGGGCAAGTGAGGAAAGGGTATATGCTGTCTTTTTCCACTCTCATTGCCCCTATTGCACTGGCTCCCGACATACATAGTTACTGAAAACTCTATCCTTATACTGTTTGGTACGGTGCTCCTGGCTAATCACCTGCTTGGTGTGGAGCAGGTTGGCATAGCGCCGATTGGCCTCCTCCACCGCCTTGGCCTCCTCCGTGTCCATGGCCACAGTCACACCTTCTCAGCGGGGCGCGCGGGGATGGATGGAGGTGGAGGAAAGCCACGGAGTTCAGGAAAGACGATTAAAGATAAAAGGGGATGCTCCTCCTCTTCAACTGAAGGCAACGCACGTCGCCACTGACGGCATCCCCGTAGCCATGACCCGCTTGCGGCCATCAGTACGTTGTGTTCATCCCACTGGAGTGCACCCCGCATGGGCCGCGCAAGGCTCTGACGCCAGCTCCGCGGCTCGCCAGGCCCGCTGTAACCCTGAATGACACAGAAGGCCCGGTGCACGCAGCTGCCATGCCCACGCCCCCAAGCTCACGCGCCTAGCTGCCTACGCAGCACTGTACCTGAACACGTACCATCCATGACCGCCTTGGAATCAGTCATCCCATTCCGCAGCACCCAGTCCTCGCCTCAAAAGGTGAATGCGCACCCACACGTCGCCCCGCTCAGCCCGCGTCCCCGACCTATCCCCTTCCCTACCGCCCTCCCCCCGCCAGCCATGCAACCCCCCCACCCACCCGCCGCCTGCCAGATGAATATCGTCTCTGTCTCGTGCAGGGTCAAGTATACGCTGCGCTCCAGGTCCCGCTCGTTCAGCAGCGCGGGCGCCGGGAGCTGGTGGTCCTCCTCCCGCGACAGTCCGCGGATCGGCTCCCCACTGCCGCCCTCGTCCCCGTAGCTGGCAGCTAATGCTGCATCCTCCGCGGCTTTGCGCTCCCGATCGCGCTTTTCACCTGCATGACGGCATTTGAGGTTGGAGGTGCGCCTAAGACGCGATGAACCCGTGTGGGCCGTCAGCGCCCACCCCCTTCGGCGGGGAGCACCGGACGAGCCCACGTCTTTGGGCCACTGAAGCGACAATCCGTGCTATCCGGATGACAGAGCGGAACCGTGTGTTGATAATAAACAATAGCGGAGGGATTTGTCCGTGCGCATTCCGTTTTCCTAGAAAATTGGGACGGAGGTGTATGTATGTGTGTATGTGTCAAGAGAGAGAGAGGGAGAGATACGGGTCCGCACAGCAATAGCGCAGCACAGCACCATCATGTGAAAAACGGAGGCTACTGAAGCCCGGGCGCTCGGCCCATAGGCGGGCAAAGACGGCCAAACCTGTCAGGCGGCGAACCTAATCTATGGGAATGGCGGCACAAGGTACTAGGGGTGCAGCTGGGCCAGCCGCAGGAGATCACACCGAGAGCACTGACTATCAGAACCGCTCGTGGAACCGAGACGGCCAACCTCCGGTGCTTCTACGTGTTGCGACCTCGAACGGAATCACTCTCCCGAAGGCAGACTGCACTTTCCCCTATATACACCATTTGGCCATGGTTCGGCCGTGGTGGTCACATCGCCACCGCGAACATCCCTAGAGGGGTGTTTCCCGGCAAACGAGCAAGGATCCCAGGACATGGTGGCGCTGCCGGGCCCTCCACCACACGCGGGCCCCAGTCGCTTGGCCTCACTCTCATAGTCTGGATAGTCGTTCTCGCTTTTGGGCGTGTGAGAGCCGCTGTCCGCATTGCTGTACCAGCCAGCCTTGGTGAAGGCGGCGGTGGACATGCGGTCCATGAAGAACTCCGATGACTCGCTGTTGGGCGTTGTGGTGTCATTCTGGACACCCTTGAGGACGGTGGGATTGAGCGACAGCAGCGGCTTGGGTGTGCGGTCCACTCCATCCACCACCACCTGGCATGGGCAGTAACATGAGGTTGCGCGTGATCGGGTAGTGGTGGCTGGGTGTGGTTACATGTGGATAGGAAAGGGGGCACGTATGTATACTGGTGGCTCAGTAGGTAGCTAGGTGCGAGGTGAGGTCAGGAGCGCTGTGAAGGGGGGCCTGCAGGGAGCGCTGGTGCGTCCATATGTGCGGTGGGGCCCAAGGGCGCAGCTTGACGAATGTGATAGAGCACAGAAGATTCACTAGGTACTGAGGGACGTCGCAGCTTGTGCGGGAATACGTCAACCGTGCGGCGGGATGTGGCCGACAGCTTTGGAGACGTAGGTATGGTCGGTGCAACGCCCACCGGGATTCGATCCATGGAGCTCTATCTCCACGTGTTTATATTACGTCGTCCGTAGCACCCTTCCTGCACAGCTGGCAGGGCTGCTCCTTCCCCTTTGTTCCCTGAAGCGCCCTAGGTCCGCGCTAGGTACGGCATCTTGTACAAATCGCGGATTTTGAGGGTGCCTTGCCCGTCATAGACGCATCCGCTTACCTGCAGTCGTTCTGTATCCGCACCACCCTGGCTACGATTCGATTGACGCGTAGACTTACGGAAGCTTCCCCGAGTCGCCCCTGTTTCCGCCGCGACATGGCCATCAATAGATGCTTGCCTGGACCGTCAGGGCCACATCCTTAATCCTTACCACTTAGACTCATACGAGTCTGTCCTGAGTTGCTGCCCCGAGGAGCTCCAGGCGACCATTGTGAGCTTTGCCGAGGTCGATAGCCCGCTCCTTGCTGCCCAGCAGCTGTTGGACGTGGAGGAAGCCCGTTTTTAGTCGGTGTCCGCTGGTCTGACATAGTATCAAAGAAGTAAGGTGTGTAGAGGTCACGGTCGTTTGTCGCGATGCAAGGATTGACCGCAACTTAAAAGGATATTCATTTCTTTGGAAAGGGATTCTCTATCGACAACAACTTTTGATTACCACTAGTTCTAACGGCGAACTGTGGATAACTAAGTGTTTAATGTACGGGTACGGCAGTAGTAACCATGTCTAACGAAAATGAACCCAGGGCGCCCTAAGCACGCTATAAATTGCATAAGCCTATTTCGAGATCCCACCTTGCAGATAGAAGAAATGTTACACTATGACCATGTGGTCTTAAGTGGGCGACGTTCTTTCACGGACTATACTGATCCGCTGATCACCTTGTGACAACTACTTAATTAACGCTCTACTGTATTATACTCGCTCGTTTTAGGACAGGAGTTCAGTGAGGAACAGCCTTTTGGCTGCTTGTTGCTGACACTGCAGTATTGTTGCTGGCGCTGCGGCTGTTGTGAATAAGTGACGAAGCACCAATGAATCCACAACGAACGCTTGGCGACTGTCCGGGCACGTAGCTCAGGCGGGCCTGACGGTTCTGTCGTGGAGATTCCCGACGTACGGTACTGAATGGCTATTTATCGCAATCGAAGTATGTGTAGGACCTCTACGGCATGCCACAAGTCCTTGTTACGGAACCAACGTTACCGAGCGAAACCAATCGCAGAGCACGAGAGCGATGGCCATGAGAGGCACAGCTGTGGCAGCTCCGCCTAGACTTTCTATGCCCGACAGGGTCCTGGCGGCAACAACCGCCTTGTGCCATACAGCACGAATCCAGTACCATATGGGGGGAGGTTCCACTTAGGATCTACGTCGAGGATTAACCCTCTGCCCTCCATTGATCCCCTAAGTTGCGCGCAAACTTACCCCGCCTCCACAACCTTTGGTCCCCATATGGATGGGCCGAAACTACCTGGTAAGCTCCTACCAAGGGCTTCCGTGCCCTAATCCGCGACGTGAATCCGGAACTGGAAACACCCCCGATGTCCGGTCGATGCAAACGCCAGTAAGCAGTTTGCATGCGTTCCACCCAAAGTTCAATCTCCTGCACTCCAGTTCAATTGCCACTACCGACGCGTGTTCCATACTGCACCACTATAATAAGGGTTGACCACTCTAAATTGGAAAAGCCCAGATGTGTCTCCTGAGTCTAACAGGATGCTCGTCATACCAACATGATATTCCGCCATGGAGAAGCCACTATCGCTACCGCTAAATGCAAACATTCTTCCCTCGCTCCCCTCCCTGCAAAAAATCGAATAGATACCAAAGGAATTCAGCTGGCGTGCTAATTCTATTTATAGTCAGGCATTCTGGTCGATGCACCTGTGTCTGACAGTCTGACGCACATCTCCCGTCACGACAGTTATAAAAGGAAAAATAGCGCGGAAGACGCCCATCACCATCCCAATTTTGTTACGTTCCCAATTATGTTACGCCCCCAGTCAAGGGAGCCAATAAATGATCAAACGCGAGTATCCGCAGGTAAGCCCTAGGCTCGGAAGGCGTCTTCGATGCGCCGTCTCGTTTCATCAGTATGCGTAATCTTCGTCACCAGCACCTTCCCAAGCAAATTGCTAGGTCCGGTTGGATTGCTGCTGGCCTGCAAGGCGAAGGCCTGCTCGTCAATCAGCTCTGCTTCCACCACCCAGTCAGAGAGGAACGGCTTGCCCTTGACGAACTCCCCATCTGCCCGCTTTACGGCCAGGGCTGGGAAACGTAGCTGACCACTGCCTGACGAGGCCTGTGACAAAGTCGGGTAAGCTAGGAATGTCAGCGCAGCAGCAGCTAGCACGTAAAGCACAGTATATGGAGGTGCGAGACTGTAGGAGCCTGGGAGAAAACAACTCGCAGGTGGCATCCAGAAATGACTTGTGCTCACCCCTATGGGACTGGCCATGCATACAGCTGCAAGGTAAACAGGATCACGATGTCTCGTTGTGATTGGACGCTTGCACATGTGTATGTCCGTGTATTTACTGGAAAGCTTACCTTCAGTGCACCTTCGCTGCTCAGCGCAAACCATTTACCCTCTTCTACCAAGTGCTGCCCCGTTGGCGTGCTAATAACAGCATACTCAGCAGGCCTCAGGTCTTCTGTAGGTCGGGCCGCCGTAGAGACGGCGCTAGTAGCTTGCAAAACAAGCCTACTTCCTACATTTAAAGTCCCAACGGGAAAACTTTAAAGAGCGCGTGCAAAAGCTGTCGTGCGGCTGCAGTACGCGGCTTGTCAACTTTGGGAACTCCAACAGAAATGGCCCTCAAAATCCAGAGGCTACGATTTGCCAACGTACCTGCAAAGTTCCGGCTAGGCATGCGGCGGCATACAAACGGCTGTCCCTTCACGACGCAATTCATTGTGGGTACCATTATACGCGTAAAATTTTAGGCACTAGGATGTTTCCTATCTTATAAAGCAAAGAAGTTCCGTCTTTTTTTTGAGGTTCAGAGTAAATTGTGGTGGAAAGGGAGTCCCACTACCCTTCCAGGAGGACCAAGGCTTTTCTATTGTTACGGGCTTACCACAATGAACAGGTTTCCGATAAATTGCCCAACAGGGCAGAGGCAACCTGAGCAAACGTTTCTTCCGATTGCCGTACATGAGGCCTGACTGGCCTGTATGGGCAGATCTATCTCTATCTTCTTATCAACCAGCTTTGTTTCATATTCATACATAAAATCCGTCCAGACATTCGGATTTTAGGGTACCTGATGCGATTCTGCATTTTTAAGGACAATCAGCAATTCGCCATGGGGAAGCAGGCTGTATCGTGCCACCGACAGAAAGATCTTGCCTTGAGTCGAGAGAAATAATCCTACCCTTGAGGACGATCGAGGCGACGCCGCACTAAACAAACACATCCGCCGTACACCTTATTATATAATGTTTACTTTAAAGGCGCCAACGTGAAATGTCGTAGAAGTTTGAGCACAACCTACTTCACATATGACCCCGGCAGCAGCAAGGCCCTTTAGGAAGGGCTGTGCTAAGCCCACGCCGCAAACACACCTTGCAGCAATCCCCGACCGCTGGTACGAAGGTAGCCGACATGCCACTACCACAGCACTGGCCCCAAAGAGTACGGTTCCCGTGGCTTTTCAGTACAGTTGCAAGACTCCCCGAGCCTCGTCATCCTTACGGGCCTCCTTTCCAAACGGAGCTGGTCACAAGCCCAAGTCTGTCGAAGTAGAAACCCTTCACTCGTTCGGTTTCCAAAAGAATGCTGTAGCATGGCCAACGCCCCGGCGAAGACGGGGCTTGGACGCTTCGATGTAGGCCTTACGGAACTTCCTCGCAATGCGACCCTTGAACCTCCGATGCGCTGCCCGTTGTCGTGCTGGATCCGCCTCCAACTCGCCCCTGCTCAGGCAAAGTAAGCAAGACGAAAGAACCAATAAGCAGTCGCGCAAGGACATCCTTTCCACGGCTTACAATCATACGTTGTACACAGCCTGCTTGCAAGGCTGCAGACAGGTCCCTTTCAGACGCAGTGCATGGAAGTCGATATCCACCTTCCGGGTTACCGCCCATCTGCCTACAAGCCTGGCTTACCGCTTAGGCTGCTGCAAGTGAGCTTGCAACTTGGTCGGTATCCCAGCAACCGTCCGGCCGCAACATTCCCAATATGGGCGCCCGGTGAGCTCGCAGCGCGCCGCCAGTCCAGTCCATGGCAGCTTTTGCTGCAAAGGGCAGCCCACAGTGTCGCGACGTGCGAGAGCTGCCTGGAGTTCCTCTTCCGCGTCCTTCCGCTCCATAAACCTAAGCGCGTACTGTTGTTCCTTGACCGTTTTGGGCAGTGTGTGACCGAATTCCGTCACAAAGCGATGAATCCGCTCGGTCTTCTTCCGCAGTTCCAAGAACTGCTCGATGCAGTCCTTAACCTATGGGCACAAAGAAGATTCCCGGTTGCAAGTAGGCAATGGAGGAGAAGCTGTTTATTAGGGAGGCAACAAGGCAACGGCCAAAGGAGATGAGTCCTTTGCCAAGGTTCTATGTTGCAAGCTGCGCACCCAGGACATGTGCTGAGCGTCCGGTCTTGGGGACCATCAGCCGAGGGCTCCATCCCATGTGAACCTTGCGGCCATAAACCTGGAGACAAAACCCATTACGGGGCCCCGTTTCATGTTCTAGCACCGCTGAGGTCCACTTCTCTAGGGGCGCCCATCCTCCCATGTAATGGATCTTTTCCGCACCTCAAGGTCGATGTACACCCCAGTCCGATCTGCGATCGCCGCCATGAACGCCCTATCATAAAGCACCTCCTTCCGCTTCTCCAAAATCAGGTCGCTCTCCTCCTTCGTGATAAGGCTAGCATGGGAATAAATTTGTTGCAGGAAAGGCAACCGCAATTATCAGTCATCTCTGGTAGCAGCTAACCCACGATCCGTTGCATTTCACTCATCCGTTGACGTAAGACACACAAGTACATAGGTTCAATCACGCCAATGGTCATGCACACCTTCCAATGCGTTCATGTTGCTGCAGGCGCAGGAAGGAGACGCGCGCTTCGTCCACCCACGCCCGGTTCTCAGCACGACTGAAGCGCAGAGGCGGTAGCCGTGGTCGGGGAGGTGTAGACCCGCTCCTCATCTTCTTACAGTACTCCACATATCCTGCAAGCCAAACAGTGTACATCGCTGCTGAAAGCACTCCGACGCAAATTTGAGCTACATGCCCCTTTCTCCAGTATGACTAGTATGGCACGTACGATCGACCTAAATCCACCTTGCACCGGAACTTTATCAGCTTCCTTGCGGGCTTTCCCACAACGCACCCTCCATGGTCATGTTCCGTAGCTCACTGAGCACCTTAAGGTCCTCGGCGTCTGCCGAGTCCTGGCTGCCCTGAGCACCCGTGTTGCCCTCTGAACCTGCTGACCCAGCACCCCCAGTTGGAGCAGCTGCGGTCGCCTTCGAGCCTACAGCAGAAGTTGCACGCAGAGTATCATATCCGATATGAACATGTTGCGCATGTTTCAAACTGGGCGTAGCCGTACGACCTCACCCAGAAGCAAGCTCCGCAGCCAGCTTGGTATGCTAAGCCCACCCGGTCGGGCGTCCGATGAGGCTGCTGCTGTCGTGCTAAACCCCGCAACAGGCCCTCTCCCCGCGGGTGCTGATGCCGCACCGTACGACCGAAGAAATGTCCCCAGGGTTATCGGCCAGGGACATTGGTCGAAACCTGGGTGAATCCCCAATGCTGTTGAAGCTGCAACATCGAATTCATGCAGGAATCTATGTCTATTTATGGATGCTGAGATTAACGTTGCGCTGGATGGTACAGACCAGCCGCGTGATCGGAAAAGCCATTTTGCCACCTGACTCATAATCTCAAGGTATAAGCTTTATGATCATATATGACTCGCATGTATTTAAAACTTAAGAAAGCATGAGGGAGGAAGTCATCCGTTCTCGTTTCAACAGGATGTGAATCGTGTGCTCACCTTCATTAAAGCGCTCTATGTTGAATATCCAAACCTACTAACAAGGATAGAATACATCGTATCCATGAAGGAATTCCAGCCATTGCCGACATGGCCATGAACTGGATTCAAGCATCGTACAGGGCAAGCTGTGCAGCTGAGCCAGTATTTTCTCTTCGCTTCTATAAGTTCTTTTTGAGACGCATTCGTATTCCTACTTAAAACTGATGTCCGATTATCGAAAGGAGGCCGACAGGCTGCGAATGCTGCGACAGACGCAGCAGCAGGGAAGCCCTAGCTTACAGCTTCCCACCAGGGGACCGATTCAGGCCGAGTATCATCGTCCGGCAGCAAACGTGCACGCGCTGGTGCAGGTAGAACTCCCTGCTTTAGGGTATTCTCGGTAATGGTTGTGAACAGGCAGTAACGGACACAACCTCTGCTTTGCAGCGACACTACTTTCCCGAGGAAGGCTTAGTTCTTGATGGCGTTGGGGAGCCTGCGAATGCGGATGTCGCGGACGCCGCGGATGTCGCAGACCGGCTCTCAAAGTACCAAAACCTTTGTCAGCGACGCGCAGCAGAGACCAGCAAGGCAATACAAGCCGAAAAAGACGCGAAAATGAAGCTGGTGCGTGTGGGAAGTTGGCTCTGAAGGCTGGCCGAAAAAACCTGGCTCTAAAGGCAAGGGCTCTATGTTTTCGACCCAAACGAAAGCTATCACCGTACACGACGCCGTGCAGGCTTTGTCAACGCGTGAAAGGTTACAGAACGCGAAGGCGTTCGGGCTGCGGGTTGCGTTAGGCAACCTGAAGGCTTCACCTCGGAACCCTACCAAGGGCAAGGTATGATGATGGTGGCCTTCCCTTTTTTCCATTGTGGCACTGGAACTGTGGATCAGACTTTATGAAACTGGTTGGGGATGTGTACAGGAGACGGCCGCCAAGGAAGCAAGCCCGGTAAGCGTACGCCAGACCCCTGCATGGTATAAAGGTTTACACAGCTGTATTTGTGGCGCATGCAACAAGGATTTTCGTTGAAGCGCTGAGAGGGTAATGCAGGGCGGCGACACCAGCAGCAGCAACGATGGGCTAGCGGAGGGGGCAAGTCCACCACATCACGGCGCAGGAGAGTCCAGTTCAGTTGGAGAGCAGCTGGACGCGGGACGGCGCAACGAGCCCCTAGCAGGCACGATAGCACCGAACCGTAAGTGTTTTACAAGTATTGGCCGAGACCCTTATTCCCCTACACCTATTAGTAACTGACCGTAATAACAACACAGGAGCAGTGGTTCATTCACCCAGGTTTTGCTTCCTGCTGACCTGGCCCTCAGGGTGTAGCGAAGAGGTTCCAAGTCCAGCAACTGACACGCAGCCTCACACTCAGGACGGGCCGCCTGCCTCGGTTGCCCTGCCAAATAATCGGAGGGTCTCTGCCAGCGTAGCAGCTCGTCAGCGGCTCGCAACGTACAGCGCTGCGCACATGACCGCGGCAATGGCCGGCTTCAAAATAACCGAGCTGCCACGCGTCCCGAACCCAGCACCTGTGAACGCAGCGGGCAGCAGCTCAACCAGCTTCAAGGCCAGGTGCGCCATTTGATCTCCCGGGTCAGGGTCCTTTAAAAAAAAGGGATACGGTGGTGGTTCTTCAGTTCGAGGACCCGCCATGAAGCGTGAGATACACTTCCATGTGCTTTGGCTCCCCGCAGGGTCCTGCAGGCAACCAATCTAAACCGTGTGGCCAAGGCGTACAAAGGCAGACCTTTGCCGCTTGTCGTCTCCGTCGATGACGAGCCCGGGATGGCGCGCATCGCACAGAAGGTACGTCGACATGATTGCATATTGGTCGGCAACAGGAGCCTTAACTAATAATCTTACAAGGTGCTGTCCCAACTCCGTTTGCAGGTTTCGGAGCTGAGGGAAAAGCTGGAGCTTCCGCGGCTCTGTGCGTGCCCAAATAGGGCAAATATATTTGATCCAACCTACGTTACGAAATGTGCTCGGAATTGCCCCCTGTACATGCAACCCGAGCGCTTCGCATCCCTGCTGACGACGTGGCTGCGTGAAAAAGATATTATTTAATCGGCAGAACCCCTTGACAGTAACGATTGGGGTTCCACTGCAGCCGACACCGGGTGCAGGCAAGCTCAATTACAACAAAACGGTCGTGAATTAATCCACCTGCAACTGCCGCAATAATTGATGGACGAACATCTCTGCTCTCTGTCATTCATGTAATCAAAGCTGCCTTTTTTCATTCCTAGCCCCCATAGCACGCAAGGAGCCAGGTCCAACTCTCGGGAACACGCAGCATGCACGCACACACAAAGATCATCACGAGCTCACATTTTCGTCCACCATGCCGGGTCGAACCCCTAAGGTCGAACCCCACCAAAATTGCACCATTAAAACTGGTCCAAAATTTTCTCGCAGCCATCACGCTGGGCGCTCGTCCGATGTAGCAACTACCCAAGCCGCTCATTTACTCTCTTTTAATGTTAGTATATTAATAAGTCGTAAGCGTGCTGTATGGATCCCGACGCGCTCCCATCCAGTTGTTCATGCATCAGGAAACCGGAATACGAAAGAAACTCAACCCGACATTATCTTTCGCAGCCACGTGAAATAAAGCTGCTATCATCACTCTTCACACACATACGCACACACACACACACACACACTCTCTCAGCAATCTTCGAGGGTCCGTCAAACAGAGCGCCGTGCTCGTTTGCCTAGCATGGAAAAACGGCGACGGAGCATTGCGCTCTTGGCACATGAAAAGATGACGGGCACCGACACATGCTCACACACTTGGTTATTGCCAAACGTCACATGCGCAAACAAACATGTACGCGCATTCGGCGATGATACAAACCACCACATATACATTAGGCTTGGCCTCGCTCATCGCACATAAAAGTCATGCATGCACCTATTGGGCACAGGATTGTCTCTTCTCGTGTGCCGGGGCTGCATAGACATGGCGGTTGCGCAGGCGCTCAGCAAGACCCGGCAATTCCCTGGCCGACCCGGCATTTACCTACCACCCGAGTATGCTGCCGCTGCAGCCTGTAACGCGTAACCAGCATAACTGCTGGGCACAGAACCATTGTACGAGGACCACAGCGACCATGAGGGGCCCCCAGAAGGCAAGGCTGCAAATGAGGCAGAGCTCGGCCAGCCGACTCCGCTGCTGCATCCACCGGCTGCGGCGAAAGCAGCCGCTTGCGCCTGAAGCATCTGTGCCGCGCCCACCACACCTCCAGTACCGTGATCAATGGCCCCGTGTGCTGCTGCAGGAGCGTGCACCTTCGCGGCCGCGGCCGCGGCCAGGGATAGCCAGTCCGCTGCACCGCTGTTCCCGGACGCGTTCATCGATGAAAATTGTGACGGAACCTGCAGCAGCAGGCTAGATTGAAGCATGCTGCTGCCCCCCTGGAGCCATCCCATACCACCCAGCCCAGCGGCCTGCTGCAGCAGCGCAGACCTCTGCAAGGGGTCCAGGGCTGCTACAGCCGCCGCGGCCGCCGTGTTCGACGCTGCTGCCGACGGGTTGCCGCCCTGGTGGCCCAGGCCGTGTAGCAGCGGGTGGAGCGCCACGGAGCTGGTCGGCAGAAGCCCATTTAGCTGCTGCAGGCTATCATGTGTCTGCGCCATTTGATGCTGCTGCAGCGCTATTTGCAGGTTGTGTCGCGACAGGCTACTTTGGGCGCCATCCAGCAACCCTCCGTTCTCTTGAGAACACAGCAGGGGATGCAAATTATTTCCCAGGCTGCTAGAGCCCCCACCCGGACCCATGACCGCTGCCAGAGAGGCCATGCTCGGAGGCAGGTGGAGACCCGCAAGCTGCGAACCCGAAACCGAAGCGCCGCTGCCCACGCCGCCGACATAACCATTAGAGCTGCCGGCGTTCTCCAGTTCTGCCTTCCGCCGTAAGCGGCGGCCTTGCACGACAATCTCCGCGCCGTCCATGTTGCCGTCTGCATCGGGGTCGTCCGAAATGCCGCCGTTCTGCGGCGCCTGCGGCGGCGATGGCTGCTGCGACTGCTGGGAGTTTGGCTGCTGGGGTGATGAGGCCTGCTGTTGCGCCTGCGGTGGCGGTGAACCTGGCGGTGACGGCCGCTGCCCGCCGTTTCCCAGCTGCGACTGAGCCAGCGCCAGAGCAACAGGCAGATCGTCACCATTAAGCAGGGTTCGCGCATCGATTCCATTCATGCCCTGATGGCCATTCGCAACCAGGCTTGATGACATGGGTGCGCCACCGGCGAGGTGGGCCTGCAGGTGTTCGCGTAAAGCCGCGCTGCCGCTCAGGTCGGAGGTCAGGCCATTGCCTCCAGCCCATTGACCCCCGTGTAGCTGCGAAACGCCCGCCAACTTCAGCCCCGCGAGACCTCCATGGCCGCCCAGCAATTGCTGATGAGCATAAGCTGCGCTCGTAGCCGACCCATTCGTGAGAATCCCTGTCGGATCAGCGGCCGCGAGCAGAGCTGGGTTAAGGCCGCTGTACGGAGCGGGCGTGTTGACGGGCAGCCCGAACATTCCCGTATGAGCCACAGCTGCCGCCGCCGTGATATGGTCAGCCAGGGAAGGGCTGCTACGCTGCTCCCTGCCAGCGGCTTTGCTCTTGCTCTTGCGGCGACCGGACCCAGGCGCTATGTTCCTGAGTGTGCCACCCGCCGTCCAGTATCGCTGGCAAGTCTGCGCAGGGAAGTGATACGCCAGATAACATGAAAACACATCACCACTAAGGAATCCATGGAGGGCGCGCTTGCAAATGCTGTGTGCACATCCGCACGTCCCATCGCACACGGCCCCTACAACGCCCGTGCTTCCTTACCTTGCAGTAAAACCGAGGCTGCTTTATGTTGTAATTATTGTAGTAGCAAAATTTGGTGTCCAAGCTGTTGCACCGTGGGCACGTTTCCTTTTTCTCGGGCCTGCATAGCACAGGTAACAACTGCCACAGTTAAGAGCCGCTTACTTCGCGCTTGCAAGGCTGTCAGCACAATAAGCTACGTCTAGAATAAATTAGCGCACCGAGGAAGCTTCTGTCGCGGGCCTGAATCCTTGGCCGCGTTGTCATCGTCAGGGCTGGAATCGCGTTCCTGAAGTTGACGGGCGCGCTTTGCTACCGCAGAACTTTGGTTGTTACCATTTCGCACACGCGACGGACTAGTTACATCGCGGTCGCCCGTCTGTCGCCTTGGCTCCCTGGCTTTCTCCTCGCGTTCCTCGTTCAGGTCGGCAGCAACACCAGCCGCCCAGTCCTCCAGCTGACCTGAAGTACTTACTGTATCTCGCGAGGCGCCCTCCATGGATCTACAAGGGCAAAAAGTCAAGGTTTCAGTAACTACCTGCCCTCAGCACCTTTAGTCCGTTGTCCCTTTTTTGTGCACCTAAAGTGGCCAACTGCATGCCGTGCACACACTTACTGCTGATTGATTGATACTTGTCTAAATGCGCCAATCCCACGGGCCAACCGTGCGCCAGGGTGCAGCGCCGCCTCAATAGTGGTGGTCCAGTAGGTGTGGGACTATCCCGAGCCCAATTAATCCCTTCATCTGCACACCTAAAGCATCATTGTTTATTACGCTACCGGTTGAGCGGTGGCGCGAAGAATGCAAGTTGGATTAGCACCCACAGTACGACTTTCCCCAAGATAGTCTCATTAACACTGCAAGGTTTGCATGTCATACAAATCGACTATACGATGATGAATTTTGTCAATTTTACGATCTTCTCTGTTGAGGTTGCAGAATTCCTTAGCTCCCAGGTTTTGCCCCTTTCAAAGGGATTGTTGTTCCACACACACCATGCATCATAACGTGCGGAGATTGAACATAGCCATGCAAGCGGTAGGTGAACACGTGTTTCCTTTCAAGGACAACATCAACAGCTCGTGCAAATTATCTGGACGTAGAGAATGTGCACAATGCTCTATACTGGCCCTGATGTACACAAGGAAATGAATGCATGAATGCATCGTCCTAGTCGGACCATCGCCAGCTCAGCAATTGGTGTGCGTTTCCTGGCAGTTGAAATTTATGCTCTGACCATTGCTATGACTGCGTCAACAACACATATTACTGTCGAGCAATTGGCGTTCATATTGCCTTGAGTATCACGGGGTTAAATGGGGCTCCGTTGCCGTACAGCTCCGACACGGAGCTCCTGCAGTAGACCGAGGCCAAGGGAAATAAGGAAGATGCACCAGGAGGCAGTGGCATGAAAACTGTATCACCAATTATGCCATTCGGCGAATATGTAGGCTGGCGGCATCAGGCGGCAGCCAAAAAGCCAGGATTTCTGCAGCCCCTCCGCGCGGGTTGAGTTGTGCAAGGTCTAAGGTATTCATAAGATGCAAAGAAACCAACGAGTTGTCCCACGTTTGTGGATGCGAAGAGTCACAGTCCAGCCAACCTTGCGAATGCGAGGGCGACATCAAACATCCCAATACTTATCATAAAATACAGTGCTGATTTGCGATCGGTTGTCGTTGTGCATACCGCTACTTCCCTAGAAAAATTTCAAACGCATGGACTACAATTGGGCCACCATCAAGCCGTACAGGGTATAATTAGTTGTACGGTTAACTGACCTATCTGCGCGGGGAAAACAGCTCGGATATTTCCTAAGGGGCTGCTGTGGTCTTCATCGCTTGTACTGTATATCTTGATATCACATTTATTTCGAGTTTTGCGGTTTTGGCGATAACTACTGGAGCCCAGGATAAGGGCAGGCCGGCCGTGAAAGCCAAGTGACAGCCCGGAGAATGCACGAGGTGTGGGCCGGAACGACTTAAAGTCGGACGGTGAGGTGAACAGATGCGAATCATCTTGGCATAACGATTCTCTTACGCAGGGGCGTTTCCGTGCGCGCCTGGGTGTGTGTGCGTTGCCTTGGGCCTGTCAAGGGCTCCTTGATCGTCGACGTTGTTCCCAACCTTGTCTGGTTGGATCAGATGCGCCACCTGGGATGCGGACATCAACCTGGAAGTTAGCCCCGGAACATCAGCTCAGCAAGGCTCGGAAGGGTCCTTGCTTGTGACAGAAGGTCGGAAACCTTGAGAACTCTTCAGACTGATGTTCGGTGCTTGGCTAATGACCGGGACGCGTCTTATAGGATACGCATGTGCCCATCCCCTGTCGACATGGGCAATCCAATCGGTGCCGGTCATGTGCTCTTATGCGCTCTTTGTTGGGATCTTATCAGGTTATCAGGCATGGTATTTTCAGAAGTACTGGGTACGGTGAAGGTGGTTGCTAAGGTTGTACGGGTCCAAAGTGAGACGAAGCTTGCATTTGGTGGGAGAGGAAGTGTGAAAGGTATGTTTTTATTACAGAGACTCAAGGTGCTTGATAGGGATTTGAGGCGTTTGTTTGGCCAGGATCAGGCCCTATCTTGCCATCCTTTGGAGACAGTCGGTGTGTAGGCGCACCGCTTCTCCCACCCGGAGAGGCATCGTCATTTGCAGCAACTCGGCAAGCAGCACCAGGTTGAGGAAAGCCCCCGAAAGAAGTCCCGTTAGATTACCGGTACTTCACACCGTACTCGGCCCTTCGTTGTCGGCGGTGAAGCGGGCGGCGCAGGAAGGGGAACAGTGGGACATACTCTAGATGCTGCCCTCGTCGTGTGTGTGCGTGTGTGTTGCGAAAACATGCACGTGCAAGCCCAGCTTGGCACATCACAATGCTGGCTTATCATACCGAATCGCCGATGCTCCAACGAGAACCTCAATCCGGTGTTGGAAGTTCCTGTCCTTACACGGGATTATACGAGACGGTTCGTTTGCCCTTACAGAAGTAACGACGTTTGCGCATATAGGCCAAGGAGGACTCCAGTCGACGCAAACCCTAAGAAACAACGATCTTCCTCCACCAATCAGCAAAAATGTAGTTACCAATATGGGAAAAACTCCGTTCCCGTGCATCCACGGAGAATTGCACGGGTTCAGACACGCAGGCTGTGGCAGTCGTGTGGGCTATGCAAACAGCACATCAGAACGAGGCCACAACAACACAGCTAACCTTTGACAAGGTTAGGCAACTCAGATTCGCTTTCAACACCTACAAAATCACGACTTAATCGGCTCGGCTGGCCGCAACGGTGCTGACCACGGCAGGACAGAAACGTGAGCCCGGCTTTCACCAATAATCCAGCATCCGCCACGCCTGTTCGCGTGATATGCAACAGCTACCGTACAACTACTTTTTCGCCGCTGCTTTGCCGGCCCCCCGGCCAGCCCCCCGCCCTGCGCCACCACCCCGGCCCGCGCCGGACGCCTTGGCCGCGCCATTGCCACCGCCGCGACCGCCTCCTTTTTTCCCCCTGGTGCCCTTGCCGTCGTCCTGCAGTTGCACCACCAGACCGTCCTTCGCGAGGCGCCGCGCAAGAGTAGCCGGGTCCACATCCTCCTCGTCCTCCTGCTCTCCCTGCCCACCACCCTCGCCAGCAGCTCTCTCCACCGGCTTCGCCTCCTAAGGCAACACAGCAGTCCGGGAACAAAAGAGGAAAAGCGCGGCCATACATAACTTCGAGCAATTAAAGGAACGGGGTCCATTACAAATCGTGGCTGTGTTCGCCGTTGCTTGCTGTCCTTGGAAGACTGGTGTTTCGAAATTTCGCCAGGAAGAAGGTTGCCTACCTTGCTTCCAGCTCTCCAAAAGTACTGTGCACCCAATGCTTCCTGAGCGCTTCAAGGTACATCCTGCTACTAGGTGCCCTCACGCTGCAAGACATCCACAAACTTAGGCTCTCCCCGTTACCACAATCACCCCGCTCACCTGTTCCGCGTCCTCCCCTTCCAGCGGGCCCTCCTCGTCATCCTCCTCAGCAGCCGCCTTCCGGCCCTTGCCCTTGCCTTTGCCAGCCCCACGGCCCAGCTTGACCTCCTCCACTTGTGCCAGGCAGCGGGCCGCGGGCGCCGTAGAGTTGAGGCTCCTGCATTGACCGTACACAAAAAATCCATCAACGCCTAGCTCTACACACACAGACATCGACTTGAGCAATATCCCCTTCCAAGACGCGAGCACTGCGCTCAGGTCAAGTGGCCGCAGACCGCGCAGGCCTACACATCGGACGTGTCCCTAGGTGTAACCGACGCATTTGAAGGGCCTTATGAGGAATGAGAGTATCATTCCTTTAGTTGACACGCAAACCGTTACATCCCGCAGGCAGAAACAGGTGGGATAACTGCTCGAGACCACAAACTCCTAGGCTACCAACGAGTGAACCAAGATAGACTCCGGACTCCACCTGGTAAACGCCGACTTGACCTTTGTAGGCACGTCCTTGAACATATCCTCCGCCCACGCCGCCTTGCTCTTGAACGAGGTAACGTCAAGGATGAAATCAAACTGCTCCCTGCGAACCAGATGGTGCAGGGTGATGTAAGCGCGGAAATTGTATCGACAGACAAGTCAGAAAGCGGCGAGCCAAGTGCGACTCCGAGAGGCCGCAGCCCAAACGGTAATAGCGCCATGCCCGGCTGGAAACGCAACCCTTTTCTCCATCCAGGCAAATCTTGCGTGCCATTGAATGACCTTGAGGCACGCCCATTGGGCCCGTTGCGGCCATTCTGCAAAGTCGCGACTTGCTTTGAAGCCGGTAAAGCAGCAAGACAAACCCTTGTAGAAGTAGGTCAACCGAGCAGCAAACACCCATCCGTCTAATGCTCACTCCTTCCTTGCTAACCCGAGAAACGGGACCTGCGCATTCCAGCAGACCACCAAGCGCTTGTTTCAGGGCCTGGTTCCCTTCCCCGCCCCTTCGTCTCCTGCGGGCCACACCTGTCGATGCAGTAGCCGTGCATGAGCTCCACGACTGCGGGCACAGCGGCCTCCTGCTCCCGCACCAGCGGCCGCACCAGCAGGCGGCGCAGCGCGGAGGCGTACTCAAGGCGCACGGCGCTGCGGGATGAGGACAGGCGCCCCGAGGCGGCCATGGTGGTAGACAGCTCTCCCAGCAGTCTTCGCTGCTTGTTGCTGCTCGAGTAGTTTCCCAGCCAAGAAGTAAACCTGGCGACGCCCCACGTGACAGGAAGCTGAGAGCACGATGTAGGAGCGCTGAAAGGGGCAAAGTCTCGTATACACATGCCCAACCGCACCTGCCTTGCGGCTCTGAGGCATAACCCCCACCTCGCCGGCAGAGGAACAAAAACTGTGAAGCTTTGGAACCATTACGGAAAGTCCTTCGGAGGGCGTTCACCAACCAAGCTTGGCGCACTATAGAGACCCCGCGGCCCTGATGCACATACTTTATGGGCGGCGTGAAGACGCAGTGGTACCATACTTCCTAGCAAAGACCCAGTTATTTGAGCGGCGGGGACGCATTCCGCGGGGACCCACCTGGGAAAGTTCATTTCCGTGGGGTAGAGACCGAAGATCTCCCGAGGTCCGCGCATGTACGCCACCGGCAGCAGGCAACTCATGACCGCCGCGAAGGGCATCAGGCTCCAATTCTGGCTGCGGCGCAGCGTGTTGTTGACCACGTCGCCAAAGGAAATAGAGTCGGCGGCCTTGGCCATGGCACGAAGGCGCGCCGGCAGATCCGCTGCGGGAGTGCCGTAGAGGATGACAGGAACAGAAGGGACCAGAAGGTTGTGTGCGTGTGTGCTCGCTGCCGTCACGCACTTGGCCCATATCTTATTGCTCTACATCCCCTGACACCCTGTAGCAGTGCAATACAGACATCGGCATTGGCCGTTGCTTTCGCACTTCCACAGGAGCAATTTTCGATAAACTTACGATGTCCGCAATATACGCTAAAACACCGGCCCATCCTACGTTTCCTTGTGCCCCGGGGCCGTGCTACACTTCACCACTAATCATGTTCGCCCAGCCCGGTGGCCTCTCCATCCCAATACAACGCACGTGCGATGGTGGGCCGATGGTTGACGTAGTTTTCCTGCACCAGCAGCGGCACTAAATCCATGTCCGCAAACACCAGCTCCATGCGGTCGCCCATCGACAGGAGCGAGCAGGCGGGCTCCAGCAGCCGGCGGGCGCACTCAAAGGGACTCATGTCCGTGTCCTTGCTGGTGCCCATCTTGCCACGAACCTGCGTTCCAACCAACCGACCGACATGCCAAGCGTCGTGGTACGTGGTAAACTGCTGGGCCATGGGCCTGTTGAGGGCCCCGCCACCGCACAACCGCGTTTCCATGCTGCTCTATGAGCTGGCACAAAGGACTGGTGGAAACCCTCCAGCTTTCACGTAATGCGCTCCATAACGGAGCTCGCGCGCCATGGCAATACATCTATAACTGTAGGTTTCCTGAGTTCGTTTCACTCAGAAAACCTACAGCTATAGATTTATTGTTTGCTCTCGGAACTCGGCTGAATGTCGTTGGTATATACGGCTGGGCTAGCGTGAGTCGCAGGAGTGTGGAAGTCGCAGGAGTGCAACGGAAAGAGTTGTTTCGCTCTCGTTCATAGTGTTAGTACTGACAGGTTTCCGCTGCATCTCCTGCCTAACATGCAGCTTTTAGAAGCAGAGCCGCTTCGGTAACCAGGCTCGCCCCCTTCCACGGAGGCAAGCACACTGTTTCCTGCCTGCAGGTACCTCTTCGCCCCCACGACCCCTAAGCTAAGGTGAGGCAACTACTAGCGGAAACGTCGTAAGAAATATCTTTATGTACTTGAGGGCGGCGTTCAATGCTTATGTGCAGGAAAGACAGCATCAAACCTGACACAGACTCATATTCCAAGGGTATTGGGCACCGGCATTGGATACACACCTCGTCGTAAGTAAGGGCACGGGCCCGCAGTCGCACCATCTGCAGCTGTCCTAGGATGAGGCGCAGATCTCCACCCGCCCCCGAGACCAGGGCGTCCATGGTGGCCTATGAACAGGTGCGACCAGGGACAGAAGGGGAGAGATGAATGCGACGTGCACATTGAAAAGTGTGCCCAAGGCGGTCAATCCCATGGAGCAGCGCAGGTAGGCATGCGGCCCCCAGACGCACCTGGTTGATCTGCAGGCCCTCCTTCTGGCAGATCTCACTCATGCGCTTGGAGATCTGCTGCACTGTGGGCTTACGGAACTCCAGCTCCATGCAGTGGTTGCGCAGGGAACGCAGCTTCTGATTGTACTTGTCATTGCAAATACAGATGATGGGAATCTTGGAGCGCTTGATGGTGTCAATCAAGTCCTGGATGCCGCCGCGGTCTCCGCCTGAGCAGGGGGCGACAACCAGGAAGCGGCACGTACACGTCACAAGATCATTCAGATAAAGGACAGGCAGGGTCAGCAGGACAGGGAGGACAGGGAGGCATGAAGGGAGGCATTGCTTTCCCTTTCCCCCGGATTTCCCTGCTTACCCGACATGCCGTCCACCTCGTCCATGATGAGCAGCTGCTTGCGGTGCTTCCCACCGGCATCCCCCAGCCCCGGCAGCGTAGTGTTAGACACCATCTCCTTGATGACGTTGGACTGCTTGCCCGCGATGCCGTCCGAGACCTTGGTGCTCTTATTGCGCGTGTCGCTGGCGTTCATCTCGACAACCTCAAACCTGGACACATAAGCACGAGGCATGTCCGCGCATGTCGAACAAGGTACGTATGCTCGACTAACAACCCCCACGGGCCATTCAGCTTGTGGGCTTAAAACAGAATATTCCACGAAAAAACAGGCCTCTCCCGCGCATACATGCAGAACAGCAGACCACCTTTACAGCTGCCAAGCTGTCGCGTCAGGCAAGCAGAAGTGGTGCTGAACAACTGCCGTGATGCACGGCAAGGAGAAGGAAGGACCACCCTACACTGGCAATAGCCTGCCAAGCCGGCCAACCTGCCGGTCGGTATTAAGTGTGTGCGGCTATCCTGCGCCAAGTTTCCTTACGCCATGTGGCGGGATCCTCACCCCGCCTCTCGTGCGATGATGTGCGCTGCGCTAGTCTTGCCGATGCCGGGCGGCCCGCTGAGCAGTGCGGCCTTCTTGGACAGGTCCTTGGGCTTGGAGCCGCCGCCCTTCGCAGTCGGAGCAGCGGCTCCACGCAGGTGGACCTGCGTCACCACCAATACCAGCGACCACGCAGCACTGACCTTATGCCTGATACCCAACGGGGGCTCCGCAGCAGCATTGGGACAGCAAGTTTCAAATGACCTGCACCAGTAACTTGCATTTATTCAAGCAGCAACAACAGCCAACAGCACACGCACCCAGCCGCCCGCAGCTAAGCCACCTCCTCCCAAGCAGCCTTTCGTAGATGACCTCGCTCTCCAATTTCACCCAACCACCGTGATGAAAGCTCCTTTCCCTAATCAGCGAAGAGACGACCAACGGACCTGCTCCCAGCTTTCCAGCCACTGCTTCAGATTGGCCACTAGCGTGTTGTTCCCGACCAGCTCCGAGCTGTTTCGCGGCTTGTACTTATCCACCCACAGCTGGTACAGGCCCCCGCCGCCCCCGCCAGCAGGTGGCTGGCTCGGCTGCGGGGTTGTGTAGGGCCCAGTCGGCTTGCGCACGGCGCTGGGACCAGCGCCCCCGGGCCCCGCTCTGGCGGCAGCCGTGGGACCGAAGTTCGACGTGCAAATGCTGGAGGGTATTGCTGCGGCGGCGGCTGCGGCCGCGGGCCGCTCAGCAGGCGCGAAGGAAGCACTGGCTTTGAGCAGTGCAAAGAGACCGTCTTCATCAATAAGCTTGGTCTTGTGCTGTTTGGCCTGCGCACACGTGCCGTCGTTGAGCGCGTGGCGTAACGATGGCGAACAAGCAGAGTTGGCAAAGTCGTAAAGGCTGACTTATTGTGCAGTTTATTGGGGCCTGCCTGCCCCTTTTTACCTAATGGCCTAGCTTTCTCAACCGTTATGATGTGGCTCTAGGAGCCGGTCCGCTCTTGGGGCATTCCTGTTTTCCCAAAATTAGTACAGGCAGCAAGACCGCACGCCAAGGGCCCCTGACCCTGCCCTGCCGTACCCTACCATAACTCCCTCGTGCAAGCGCTTGGAGGCTCTCGCCCCTCCTCCTTTCTTCCCTTTCTTCCCTCATCCCAGCAAGCAGGACACAGCACGCTGTCCTCAAACTTACATCGCGGTACTTGCCACGTCCGCAGTTGTGGCCAACTACCACAAACGCTGTCTTGCCAGACACGCTCTTTGTAACCTTGCCGCCGTGCCGCTTGATCAGGTCCTCCGCCTCCGGACGCATCAAGCTGTCCAGTATGCCCGTGATAACGAACGTGCGGCCCGTCAGGCAGTCGGGATGGCCGCGAGGAACCTCCTGCGCGGCACAGCAGACATCCACAAATGAAAAGGCGCACTAAAACATGCAGAAGAACGCGGCCTTCCATCGTCCACCAAACCAACTGTCATCACATTGAAACTAGGGGTTCGCCGCCGACGCGGGGCAATACAAGCTGGTACGTATCCAAACACAAACACACACACACAACACGCATGCATGAACGCTGCAGGACAATCACAAGTGCCAGAGCCCACATGAACTCCCAATCAAGTGGCCCTTCCCCGTGCCCAATACCAGTTGGTTCCTGCTCCCCCGCGGTCCACAGTCCGCACCTTTTTGCGGTAGTTTGGTGGCTCCGCGCTATCATTCCCAGCCGCATCTGCGCCCTCGGGAACCAGGCTAAAGTTGAGCTGTTCCTCGGGGGGCAGCTGCTCCGCTGCCTTGCTCACAGCAGCGATGGCGGCGTCTGCGTTGGGGTCCAGACTGAAGGACGCCGGTTTCTTTGATGAAGCTGCTGACTTGCGTGCGCTGCCGCCTGCAGCGGCGCCGCTCACACGGGCCGTTTTCTTGGCGCTCGGCTCCGCATCTGCCGCCTTGACCTCGGCGGACTTCGCGGCCTGCGCGACGGAACGCGCAGAGACAGATAAAGAGGTTCCCGGATCTCGGCACGTTCGGGGCAACGCAGACGCAACCGAAAACAGGTGGCAGTCTGCAATTGCCATGCGGTAAACGATGCTTCAGCCAGTTAGAGAACTCAACAGCTCATTGCTTTGGACTCTGCACCCTGGTGGCAGTTGTGGCGAGAAACGCTGTCATCCGTCAGCCGCGCACCTTGGGAGATACAACTGGCTTATCCGCCACCACCAGTGATCGTTTGGTGCCGGTCAGCTTGGACGGCTTGGGCACGCCCTGCTTGCGCTTGCTGCCGCCGGCCGCATCTTCGCGCAACATGGCCACATCCTCGTCCATACTCCCACTGCTCTGCTCATCCTCGAGGTCCTGTTGCCGTCACCCACAGGCGAGGATATCGATTATGCTTGGTCTCGTCTACAGCACTGACTACGGCGCGTGTGCACACACAGACATGGGCTGCACTCGACCTTTGGACGTCGCGACAACCAGCAGAACCAGCGACCCGATACATAGGAGCATCATCACTGCCATGCCTGTACTGAAAAGCGACTCCACAACTGCGAGGTGTGCGGGCAGCCCCGACCATTCCCGGGAGCCTAGGGACAGCGATAAGTCCCAAAGCAGGCTGAAGCGACTTCGCCCCTGTAGTCCGCACACAAAATCGGCTAATTCCCTTATCGTGAGCAGTGACCACAAGACAAGCCCCTGAGCTGCCAGGGCAGCTCACTTCAAAGTCGTCGTCGTCGTCATCGGAAGAGGATCCCACCATGACAGCATCATCGTCATCGTCGTCGCCAATCACACGGCGCCGCTTGGCTGCAGGCGCCTGGTTGCCACGCCGGGCCCCAGGGGCTGGCGCACCGCTGCCACCTCCACCGACGCCACCCTTACCACCACCAGCTGCAGCCCTGCCAAATCGCGAGAGTCATTCGTCATGCAAACGGCCGTGGAACGCGCAAGAAGCCACGGAAAATACCTTTGTCTAGCCAATTGTCTGGGTACACACACCCGCCAATGGGTTTTAAGTATGCATCAGGAGTGCAAGGAATAACCACATAGCTGTGAAGGGGGTTTTCTGAGAAAGGGACTCCAGAGCAGTGCAAGGGAATCCTCAGCCTACCTAACCCCCCGGGGTGCACTCAGGATCACCCGGTCAGGTTCCCTGGATACACAGGATATCCACAGATGTACACGAGATACGCAAGCCAGGCAACCCGAAGGCATGGAAAGGGCCGGCCGGCCAGTGCAAAGACCGCACGTCCTAATTCCTTGATCCCCCCGCGCACAAGATGGCTGCCAGTCCCTTCTTCGCGACATTACACTAATCAACCCTTGCCATCAAAGCTTAAGCACTCAGCGGACCAAACTCCCATCCTGCCATAGTGCACTATGGAGCACTTGCCCCTTATTTTCTTTGCGGGCTGGGGGCCGGTGCATGACGACAAGGTCCTCATCCTCGTCGTCTACGACTTCAACCCTGGGTTTCTTGGCTGTGGGTTTCGCCTCGACCGGCGGCTTGTGTTCCGAGTTCTGCTGGACCGCGTGCTGCACCGGCTTCAGGGCCGGCGGAGAAGCCCCCTCGGTTACCTTTTTAGGGGGCAAATCCTGCAAACACGAGGACGCATGCAATCAACGGGGTCGCTCCCCTGTTCAGTAATCTTGCTGCAAAGACATACCTTTACCGTTACGGAAGTGCCCTTGGCAGCACCTGTTCAAAGCCGAAGTTTCAGAAACGCTTTCGCAATGCCTCGTTGAGTAGCAATGGGACACACACCTTGAGAGCCTTCCGGCTTTTTAAAGAAGCTGCGGATGTCCTTGGCCTGAGTCTTAACAGGTGTCTTCTGCTTGGGCTTATCCTGTAAATGCCAAAACGGAGAGGTTTTTTATCCGTGTCCAGGGAAAAGATATTCGATGCACATGTTTACCATGGGTTCCGAAGGATCAAATTTGCTGCTTTTCAAAACTAGATAATCGGAAGCATTGGCGGAGCGCTATGTCGCAGAGGAAAAACAGGAAATGGCGGGAGGGACCAAAATTTCCTGCGATACGATCTGTCGGCCTGGAGATTTATCGGCCTGAAGATTTGCATGCTGTCATTGTCGGGCTGTTGAAGACAATAAACTCGCAGCCACAAACCAACAGAACAAGTTCGTTGCAAACAACCTCAGTCCCAACCGCAGCACGCGCGCCATGCTCATGACAACTGTTCCGCGACTGAACAACGGATTGAACGAATAAATCTGGTTGAACAACAACTCTTATGGCTGTATTGGATAGTCTTTTGATGTGCAAGAGGGCTGCGAGGCAATAGAGGTGTTAATTTGGCTGTTTCAGTTATGACATTTACGCCGAAAACGTTTTGCAGTCATGAATAAATTTCCTGTTAGCCCCGGTAAAATAGGAGCTGGGATTGAACTAAGACCTGCGGACCTGCGGAAGAAAGCTCTGGGCGTGCACACGGGTGGCCCACCGCTGCCCATTGCCCCGCCAGCACCCGTTGGGCTCGGAACACTCGGTGAAGATGACGAACTTGCTGACGGCGCTGTGCCGTCGTCTTGTGGCGACATGTCAGCTGGCGCGTTCGCGGTGCCTAAATCAAGGCCGCCTGTAGCGCTTGGGAGCTGGGCAGCGTACTGGGACAAAAGGATGGAGGTGCATTTGCCCGGCAGGTGCGACATGCGTTGCGGGCTTCAAGTTCTCTGGGGTAATTGCATGCACGGGGTGCGTGGGCGAACTGCAGAGTCACACAAGCCCGTGGTGCCCATAAGGTCTAGCGACTGCCACCCAGGGTTGTCCCTCCGAAGAGAATCCTCCTCCAAGACCTTCAACAACTCTGCCAGACATTAACCACCAAGACGCGCGCATAGTCTTTCATGTTCGCGTGAGTCTACCCCGCCGCATGACTTTGCGGCGCAACCAGCTGTGCAGCCCCTGGAAAGCATCCCATCGCTACTTGTGGTCACGGTTATCGCAGGGGCGGCACCTTTAACGTCTATGTGGCTGGCACTGAGGGGCCCATTGTGATGTGTGTGCACGGAGGCGGCTACAGCGGCCTGACCTGGTCCCTGGTGGCCAAGCGGCTCAAAGACAAGTAAGGGGCCTAGCATGGAGGCGCGGGGGGCGACTGGCGTGCGCAAGGGTTGTACGGACTCGTAGCTGTCGAGCCATTGTGGTGACGGCATCGGTGCACGTTTCATGGTTAGATGTGTTTGATACGGATTGGGGTATGCCCTGCGTTTGACTGGCACCAGCATGTAATGGCCCGATGCCAGCACCGGCCCTGAGATCTGGCTTTTGCCAGGATGCATGGGTCGAGGACAAGCCCGTCAGTCATGAAACAGCCCCAGCGCGTTTTGAGTGAGCTTTGGCGCGCTGAAAGCCATCTGCACTTCTGCTGCATGTCGTCCAATCGCGAAATGGTTGCAAGCCTTGTTCCTGGGCAGTTGCTTGGCTTGGCTGGGCTGGATTCGTTTGTCTAGGCAGACCCTGGATGTTGTGGTAGGGGGCCCTGCCAAATCGGCACATATAGGTACCGCGTGTAAGGGATTTCGCCTGCCCCGTGCCCGTGTATCCGTCTGCAGGTATCGCGTAGTGGCGCCCGACATGCGCGGTCACGGACTGACCTCCACAAACAACGACACGGATTTTTCAAAGGAGGTAACACAATATTTCATGCGCGTGTGACCGCTGACGCCTTGACAGTTGGCATGGCATCCTTCTGTGAGTCTCACAACCCGGTTTCGGCCGCTCCATCCACAGACGATGTCGGAGGACATCATCGCAATATGGGACTACATGTTTCGCGGCAGCGGAGGTGTTGCTGATGGTGAGCAATGCACCGCGGTCCGACAAGAGACGGGCGACGCGGCGCGCAGCACCAACATAATGAGCTTGAGGGAGGGGCCCTTATTCCAGCCTGTGGGAGCGGGGGTTTCCGCCACGTCGTCTATTACTGGTGCTGCGAGTATGGCAGCCAGCGGTGCCGCGCCTCCTGAGGCTGCGCCCGCCGATAAGCACCCCGCGGGAATTCTCGTGGGCCACAGTATGGGCGGTGGCCTGGCGGTGTGGGCAGCTGCCGCGAAGCGTGTCAAGTGGCTTGAGGGAGTCGTGGTCATTGACGTGGTGGAAGGCACGGCGCTGGGTGAGTGCTACCCTATTCAGGCAGGACGGAACACGGACATAGCTAGCCGCGTAGTTGCTACCACGTTCGGAAGGCCAATACCTAGTGCCAGCTTTAAGGTCCGCAAACACGTAAGGCCGCGAAGCTGTGATCCTGTAGCTAGTCTTGAGGTACACCATACTGCTTAGCCGGCTGGCGGCCGTTGACGTCACCGCGTGTTAATTGTTTTGCATGCATGTTGGGGCTCAGCCGCGCTGCCACACATGATGAACATTTTAGCGGGCCGGCCCGCGTCCTTTCGGTCGGTTGAGGAGGCAGTGACGTGGGCAGTCCGCAGCGGCATGTCCCGCAACAAGGAGGCCGCTGCAGTGTCCATGCCTAGCCAACTCGTGGAGAAGCCTCTAGGCGACCCGGGCGGAGGCGGCGAGGGACCGCGACAGTGGACCTGGCGCACACCCCTGGAGCTTAGCCGACCCTATTGGGAAGGCTGGTACACAGGTCTGTCGGAGGCTTTCCTGCAGGTGAGGACGGGGCGGCCCTGGCTTGCCGGGCGGTGGCCGCTTATTGTAGAGGTTTTTTGGTACTTGAGTCTCGGCGGTTTGCATCGGCCTGCTGGACACAGTCCAGTTTGGTGGGTGAGAAGAACAACTGGACCCTGACCAGAAGCAATCTTTCACAACACTAATACGAGTTGGTTTATAGGAACCGTTCAGGAGAGAGAAAACTGCCGGCAGGAGGAAACCACCGACCTGCATGGCCCGAGGACTTGCCCTTTCGCCTGCTGCAAGTTCCCTCCATGCGACCCTCCCTGTACTGGCAGGAGCTACAGATGCAAGTACAGTTATGCTCCCTGCTTGTGTGGCAACCATTGGTGTTAATTACCTTTCGGCCCATCAGAATCCCCCTGTGTCCCTTGTCCTTGTGCCGCAGCTGCCGTGTCCTAAAGCGTTGCTACTGGCTGGCACCGACCGCCTCGACCGCGCCCTTACAATCGGACAGATGCAGGGGAAATTCCAGCTGATCCTCATGCCTACTGCCGGTCATGCCATTCATGAGGATGAACCGGATCGGGCGGCGGAGCATCTTCTGGGTTTCTTGCGCCGCTTTAGGGTTGGGGAACCACCCTTACAATTTCCGCGTGCGCCAGCAGGGGTTCGGACACTTTTGCCTGTTGTCGCCGGTCCCACACTTGGGGTCCCATCAGGGCCGAAGTGATTGATCCGGCAGTACTGTGGGACAGGATCAGGAGGCTGACTGAGTTTACTGCTGGACGAGCTAGAGTCGTGGTATTATCCCATACAGTTGTTAGTCTCTCGTGCCTAATTTAACCATATAAGTTTCCTGTTGTGCTCACAGAGGGTTAGTTGGGATAGATTTCGCATGGTTGTACGGTCATGGCAGCCTTGGGAGGCACACATCCTCAGTTTCATGTAAAAATATCATCTCAGGTACAATAAGCGACAAATAGTTCGTTTTCTGCGTATCGTAAGAGTTCCGCACTGACGGTGTCAGCGCTTCGACGGGCGTATTCACAATGTTGACATGACTTCCTAGGAAGACTTATGAGATTTAAAAGAAATCTGTAACAAGGGTTCACAACAAGCATGCTTGAGGCACGATTTGGAGTAGAGATGAAGACTTAAGCAGGCAAGAACGCTATGTAACGACTAAGGCAGGACAGAAAGCGGTCACCAAGTCCTTAAACCTAGCATTGTTGGAATATCTGCCATGGCGCTTCTTATGGAAAATACGAGTACGAGGAAGTACGACATGCAACAGAGACCTAAAAGGTGTTGGTCTGATGACGTTTGGATACATGTGAACGCCAAACAACTTGAGTTTTCCTTAAGAATCAGCCATTACGTTTTAACAGCACCGGAAATGTCGTCTAAGCTCAACGTGAATGCCCCGGAGTTCGTCCCGGGTTCCTGGAAGGCACAGACCAGCCACTTCTATGCCGGCAACAACAATTATTACTACTATGCAGATCCTGCAGTTGAGGTATGGGGGTGACTGTGAGGGTACTGACGTGGAGACCTAGGGATTGCCAAGTAATCGTTAGTTGCGCTGCTTGATCTTGGAAGCCTCAGTTTAAGGTGTTCACCCTTATTCACCCTTGCCTATGTGCAGGAGGCTGTGACCTCGGAGGAACTGGAAGAGTTAGAGGCCGCTGAAGATTGGGTTCGCACCATGGCGGAGCTTGATGAGATGGAACGCGAGCATCTGATTGCCACTGCTCTCTCGTGAGTTCGCGCGGACTGCAGCATGTTTCTGGATCCTGTTTGGAGTAGTCAACCTGATTTCCTCCTTGTCGGTCGCATGACGTTGCAAGATACATTTGGATCTTTCTGCACTTTTAGTATTTACGTGCTTCTCAATAGTAGAAATATATTGTATTGTCCCAGGGGGGATCACAAAGCAGGTCGAACTCATATATTGTTTCACGTGCGCAGGGAAGCGGACCCGTCCCAGATCTTGGAGGTGGAGATGCGTGCACTGGCTCTGGAGACCGCTGGACAGGGCAAACGCAAGGCAGATTCTAAGCGGAAGGGCAAGCATTGAGTTCGCATTTTGCGCTAGTTGGAGCTGTCGGTTGGACGGCCAGAAAGCGTTATTTTCACGCCGGATGTCTATGCAAATTATCGGCGCTGGGTATTTGGTAGCTCGTTTTTGTTCGTGTTCTACGTCATTCATGCATCCCGGTCTTTTCGGGATATCTGTACATGCTGAAGGCTATCATGCATCACAACTTTCTGCATGCGATACTGTGTTGTCGTACGTTTGCACCAGTTTGTTACACGCCTTTCCAGTGCAAGTTTGTTATTTGCGTAGTTCCGCTTTCCCGCTGGACAGTAGGTTGGTTGTGAAACACCGCTACTAGCTGTATTTCTCCGGCGTTTTTCTGTCAGGCGTGGATGTACTCTAAACCCGGTCGTTACTGTGGCTACTCACGCATTGCATGTGACACAAGCACGGAGTTGCAGGCAGCATCTCAATTTTGCAGATACCCATAGCCCAAAAGAAAAAGTGCGTAAGAGTGTTCTGATGGAGATGCCCATGTACTTTGTTTACATGCTGCCTTGTACTTGAAAGTGTTCGGGCCTTTTCGTTGCGTTTTCTTACCATGTTCGGTGCGTGCGCTGAGACCTGCGTGGACATTATCTTCTTTTAGCGATGCATGGCTGCAGGCGACTGCAGGGAAATTATGTGCACGTGCCGTCGCGTGCACATCCGTTCAGGCCAGTGGCGATACGGTGACTAGCGCCGTCCGTTCGGCCGTGTCATAATTTCACAAAAAGAGCCAAATAGCTCTGCTTTACTGTGTTTGTTAGGTGGACTGTATTTGTTAGGTGGTTTAGGCAATTATTTTCTAGTCTTTTCTTACGCGGTGAACTCGATGGTTTAAATACTTTTCAAACGTTACAACCTTTATCCTGATAAATCCTGATTTCTCATCAAGCATGAAAGTCAAAACACTATGTAACCCTTCTTCTCTGCAAAGATCTCAGCGCCCACCGCTTCGCCGACCTAGCTCGCTTAGTTGCTGAACAAACTCCTCGCCGGATAACAACTCCGTAGCACCGTACAGCACTTGTCGTGGCGGCGTGCAGCGTTGCGCCCACGTGAGGAGAGTCTCACGCTCGTAGTAGTTCCCACCACCAATCATAAACACGATGCCCTCCCGGAATTGGCCCTTAGCACGGTCCACCTTGGCCCTTCCAGGCGGCAACTTCGGGTCAAACACAGCGTATGACTCGAACTCCGGGCTGCCAGCCTTGCCCTCCATCAGTGCCTCGACGCACATTGCCAACGGTGCCTGCCGTGCGCCTGCAGGATTGGTAAATAAGTGGACTCAAAGGCTGACGATATGCTCTTCGCTGACTCTGCTGGCTGGCTGGGAAGAATGCACGCAATGGCCAAGAAGAAAGGATTAGTCACATGGCCAAAAATAGTAGTTTAATATGGAACACCACCATGTCGCCAGAGTGCAAGCATAGGTTAGGCGCTCATGGACACATGATCCAAGCCACATAACGCACAACGCCTCACTGGCTCACCCGAAAGGAGCGTCTTCACGCCCTTCGCGACTTGACTGAGCCCCTGCCCAAATGTCTTATCCGCCCAGTCGAGCAGGTTGTTCTGTGACGCAACGGCAGCACCGCCGTGATGCCCCAAAGCCTCAGCGCCAACCTTCCCGCTGCCGGTCAGGTTGTTGCGCTTCAACGTCCGCACATAGTGCAACGCTGTTGCGTCTGCACCCCCGCTCCGCATAACCACCTCCAACTCTGACAGCTCCTGGTCGCTAGGCAGACCTGCGGACGCAAGCGGGATGAGCAAAGCAGTCCGTGCCTCTACCTGGGAAGTGTAACAAACTCCGTGTTGACAGTTTCCTGTATTTATGAGCTGATTTTGGCTTTAAGGCATACAGTGACAGCCCCGCTATGTAGGTGTCTCCAAAACCCAAAACATAGGGACGCTGGTAAGTAGACGATGACTTCCACCTTGATCCTGGACCAAATCGGAAGGCACATACTCACCGTCCTGCGCAAGCACGTAGATCAGCGCCAGCCGCAATTTGTCCATCGGTGCTCCCTTGCCACTCTGTAGCAGCTTCAGCACGGCCTGAAGATCAGCTTTACCCACCAGCAGGTCCTCCGCCATGTTGTAGTACTGGTCCAGAGCACGCATCTTAATGGCGCCCAGCAGGCTGGTTGCGATGTTGGTGTGCTTATCCAGTACCTAGCAATTCCATATCGGCAATCCAAGACCACGGCGTAAATACGGGCACTCCAGGGCAAGGGAAATCTAGCCAGGCCAGGAAGGGCCAAACAAGGCTGTCACGGTACCAATTTTATTTTGGTATCTTCAAGGTACTTCAGTTTCAACGCAGACGTCTGGTCTTAGGTGGCCTGAACCGAACCAAGCCCCCAAACACTGCTCCCAACATGCCTTCTTTTGCTCCTGCAGCTCGGGCAATGAAGATACGGCCTGCATCAAATTCTGCGTATTTTGCCGAAGCAGCTCGTCCGGATCAAAGGCACCCTCCTGTGCCCCGCCAGCCGCAGTCTTCTTATTAATTTCCTCGACTGCGTTGCGATACCGTTGCAGCTGCGTCTCAACCTCCTCGGCGACCTACATGACCGGCCGTCAAGCAGCAAGACAGCCTTCATAACAGTTGTTGCAAAGACATGCTGTGTTGCGGGCTGCCCTGTTTGGACAACGGCAGTGCGAGTGAACTAACAAGACAAGACAACAGTATCGCTCCACTGCACCAAACGAAATATAGCATAGACGGGTTTTCCTAAGACGGGTACGCATGAAACCTGGTCAAGCCACACAGGAACATGGCGCAACAGTGAACCCAGGGTTGCGGGCTGCCAATGCTGCGATGAGGTATTCGCACAACATGCTACCTACAGCGCCAACTAAAAAACCCACAGAATTCTCCTTGCACGCAGCCTCGTCCCAGCCACTCCCGCAACCGCTATCACCTTGGGAAATACGTGCGACCCGCATGCCTCCCAGAAGAAGTCTTTTTCGTCCACATCATAGTGTTTCTTGCCTGCACGGGCGCCAGACAGTGCAGAGTCTGTAAAGGCCACGCAGATGCACAGCAAATCGTAAGATACGCTGCACCGCCGTGCGAAAGCCACCAACCCATGCGCCTCAATCATGAGACCAGCCATCGGCTGCCTGATAAATCCCGGAATTCGACTTTCCTTGTCCTGTAGCAAGCAGTATGTGCAGGTTTGCCTTGCCATCCACTTAACCGCCCATAAACCAGCCACTGCATAAGAATGATAACAATATGATACTCTTCAGCCTAACTTAATGCATGTCCTGAGGCAGCGGGGGTAGTGAGACTATGGTTTTCCCCTGGCCTTTACACCTCCCACTACCGTACTGCATAGAGAAGCCGCTTTGATCCCCGTGTGTTCCGACGCGAACGGACGGTCCAACCATAGCACAGCTGCCACTGCCATACCGGCCGCGGCAAACATCTTGCGTAAGAAAGCATTCGGCATGGTCGCTGTCCAACCTGCCCACAGTACACTATAACGAGCAAGGCTTCCACAAACGTGCTAACGACTTCTTACCCGCGCCCGCAGACGTCCCCGCTGGTCCTGGCCCCACCGCCTCGCTCTGGAGCGCGATGCGATTCAGCTTCAGCCCCAGCACGTCATGCACAAGGGGCTTGTAGGTCCAGGCATGCTGCACTACAGCTGACAAGTCGAAGTTGCGGTCGAAAAGGCAGAGCAGCGGCCGCGACAGCGACGCGGATAAGCCCAGCACACCTTCGCTAAACAGATTGGTGCGGCTTTTCAGCGCGTCCCTCAATTTAGCATCCAGAGCCCCGGCGATGTGCTCCGCCGCACCCCCGCGTGGGCAGCGGATAATGGGCACGACGCCCAGTGTCACACAGACGGAGAACAGACCGTCGACAATGTTCGATACGGCTGCCTACAGCACGGATTGCACATCCCGATCATGGGTTTAGCATGATCGTAGGAACGAATTCCCATGGCTGCCATGAAATAGGCGTTTCGTGTTTATAAATGAATCAGCACATCGAGTTCCTTTTGCAGTCTTTGTCATACAAGTAATTGCCTTACGGGATTCACCCGGCTGCATAAGAACCCCATGACGATGCAACCCGTGGCCTCATGCAACAACGCGTTCCCTGCTGGATTCGAGGGCGGCATTGGCTTCGGGTTTCAAGCATGAGCCACACCCACCCGCTTCCTTCTCGCAGCACTTGTCCCAAGCGTCTCCCCTTGAGAACAAGCCCCGAAAAAAAATCAACGGCCACGTCATCGTACCTCTATCTGGTAATCTCTTGCTTGCGGGTCATTTAGCTCCAAGTATGCTTCCAGCTGGCCCAAAGAGAATAGCGTGGGCTCAAGCCCGATGAATGCCAGGTACTGATCGTACAGCTTGCTGATGCGGCTGAGACAGCCCGCCTTGACCGCGCCAGCCGCAAGTTGCTCAACCAACTTGCTGGGTATAGACACGGTGAAGTTCAGGTGCATCGAGTCATACAACCCAGCTACGGCATCAGCTACAATTCGCTCGATGTTAGAAGCGGATGGCTGAACCAAGTAAACCGCCGGCACGTCAGGTATTGGCTGGCGATCGTTCTCCAGCATGAGATGGAGTGTAACACCATGCTTCCGCAGGTCGTTCAAGCGCAGCAAGGGAGCAATCACATCCTTCGTGAACCGATCCAGCACCAAAACTTTATACGATTCTGCCGAAGACTCCTTGCCAAGAGTTCCGTTAAAGTTCAGCACACGCAGGACGACCTCTGCGATCAAAAGCAAGTTAACTTGGATACTAAACTCGATGCCTGCTGTAGACCAGTCAGTGCATACCGGCTTGCTTTTGACGAATGTTCATGTTCTCTACTTTGGATGATCAAGTGACCCGTCAGCTTGTGACCACAAATGCACTGGGCAATGCCTTATGTCCTCACGGTTGATTGCTTCCAACTCAAGTTGGGCCGCTATCTCTTAACATTTTAGCAAGAACCTGGTGCAAGTTGTAACAGGTGTCCTCCGCGACAGGTACAAAACAAAGAACCACAATCCGTAAAAGTTATCGACGCTTACGAAATCAGGATATCTAACAGAAACGACAACAGCAGCAACAGCCTTGGCTAGAGCAAAGAGCGGACGCCGTACGAAGGAGTCGTTATCGAGTCCTGACCCAAATTTGTTTCCATTTTGAAACTGACACGACATGATTACAGACCTGTAAACTTTTGATGAAGGTGTTTACTCATGCCACATAGAGAATGCGCGCAGTCTACTTTACTTCAAAACAGTCCGCAAGCGCTGTGGCAAAATGGGCTTCTTCACTGCAGTAAGCACTGTATAGGGAATGCGCACTCACCGGTTAGCTAAGAACACTCTAAACTTGCCCCTTCGCTTCGACGGTGAAAACAACCGCATTTGTCCTGCCCTGCAGGGCCTCGGGAGCATCTGTGAGGCATATTACTGCCTGGGCGGGAGCTGGTGCGTAATTGACCCGGTGGCACTTGCGGTGGATAAGTCAGCGTGCACGTTCCCTGTAGCGCAAGCTTTGCCAATGCCCCAGAAATCCTTGCACAACCCTGCAGGTGAACTAGGCCGCCGTCAGCATGGCAACGCATGCAATGTGGACGCGTTCCTATTGGGGCCAGGCACAACCCTCGAGTCCCACCTGGCGCAGTATTGCAGCGGCGAAGGCCTGCTACTTGTCTCTCTGGAGCCTTCTCCGCAGTCCCTCCCGCGCACCGGTGTCGTTCTGCTTGTCTGGCAGCCCCAGGTGCCGCAAGACATCGTCCAGGCGTGTTCTGCCCTGCCGCCCTGCCTGACGGACGGCACCAGCATCAGGGGCCTGCTGCTCGTAGATGCCTCCCCAAGCCTCACCCTCTCTGTGACGCACAAGGCGCTGGAGAGTGCTGGACTTCACATCCTGTCCCGAAAGCCTACAGTGGTGGCCACCCGCACGGCCCAGGCACCCCAGGCTGCCATGCAGGCGCTGCAACAGCTCTCCGACGCGCTCCCTCCTCCCCTGGCGCCAACAGGGTGGTCGCTAACGCCTGGGAGTGTTCGCATTGCGGTTGCGCGCGATGACGCCTTCGCTCCCTGCTTCCACGAGAACTTGACGCTGCTTAACCAGAGCGGCGCCCAGCTGCTATTTTTTTCGCCGCTCTATGACGCGGCGCTGCCTGCGGGCGCAACCTGTCTGTACCTGTCCAGCGGTCCCTTGGAACCGGAGCGCTGGCAGCAGCTGGCCGCCAACCGGGCACTGTTGGGCGCCGTCCGGGCGTTCTGTGACGCGGGGGGGATGGTGCTGGCGGAGGGCGCTGGCCTGCTCTATCTGTCGCGGACGATTGATTTAAACGAAGACGAGGGCAGCAGCAAAACCTGCGTACACGATATGGGTGAGTGGGCTGTGAATGGGCGCGACGGATTGCCACATCACGGCGTTTATCGGCCTACACATGCGCGGAGGTCCTTCCCGTTCTTTGGTTTAGATACGTACTCATCCCTTCCTTACACGGTTTGCGCCCAACGAACCATTTCTGCCACACATTACGGTTTACATATGTTCCTCTGCGTTAACTTAACTTACGTGTGTGGATTCGCCTCGCCCGCTCTGTGCACGTTGTCGTGTCCCCTCAGCGGGCGTGCTGCCCTTCAAGGCGCGCCTGCTGGCGGACGCGCAGACCGCCTCGGTGCAGGTGCTCGTGACGGCCGGTAACCCGCTGCTGCCTGAGGGTAGCCGACCGCGTGGCTACCTAAGCGCACAGGCCAGCATCGTCATAGTGGAGGAGCGCCAGCTGCACAACCTGTTCCTCGGTGCCACCGGCGAGCTTAGTGCCGGCAAAGCCGTAGGCCCGCAACTGAACACCACATATGAGGTGACGGTCATACCAGAAGAACCACAGTCACGAACCGCGGATGGGTCATTGGTGTCTGCTGCGGGACCCGGTGCTAACGGGTCGAGGAAGGACGGCAAGGAAGGGGGGACGGCGCTGCCACCCCCGTCCCTGGAGGGTTATACGCTGCATAACAATGTATTGGCGAGCAGCTGTCTGCTGTTCCTCCCCTCGGAGCCAGGTCTGGCGTTGCACTGGCTGCAGCGCTGCACCTGCCTTGACCCGGCGGCGCTGGCAGCGGGCATGGCGCAGCACGTGAGCGGCTCAATGGCAGCTGCATCGGCTGCGGGAATAGCGGCCACCGCGAAAAAGGTGCATTTGCAGTCGGCTTTGGGATCTGCGGCATGTAGTCGCGCGGGGTCGCGGCGGCAGAGCATACACGATGTTTCGGCACTGCCGGCGGCCTACGCCAGCAACGGCGGCATCAGCGCCGGCAGCTCATGTGGCATGCTGGCAGGGCTTGAGGGTTGGGGAGCTCACTTGCATCAACATCATGCACACCACCTAAACTCCATATCGCAGCAGCAGCACCAGTACCACCACCTCCAAGGCACACAGTGCCACCAGCCGCAGGCCGCCAAGCCCCTTTCAGCTGCCGGGTGCCTGGGCTACGGCCAGGGCAGTGCAGCCTGCGGTGGAAACGGGTGTGAAGGACTGTGCCCAAGCCCGCTCACGCGGCTGTCCTCCAATACCAGCAGTGCCACCGGTGCATCGCACCTGGGCCTGGTGGCGCCAGCCCGGCGTAGCCTGTGCGGTGTAGACGGTCGCTTGCCCTTAGTGGCCCCGCCGCATGAAAGCGTCCCAGGGTGCGCTCGTGGTCTAGATCTGCAGAGCGCGTCCCCGCACACGACGCCTTTTCCTCAGAAGCAGCAGAGCCGCGCTTCTCCTGTCCCATGGGCCCGGCAGGATAGTATCGTGGAAGGGCCCCGGGTGGCTCAGGAGGACGGGTTAGCAGCCCAGCAGGAACAAGCGGAGCACCATCATCACAACAACCAGCGGACTAGTAGCGGCATGCAATTGACGGCTTCGGCCAATGTGGCGCCGCGGGACGCCACGCAGCACAACCTCAATGTTCCTGATAAGCGGGGCACGGCATCAGCGGTAAATGCGCCGATCTCCGAACCTGGCTCGCCTCAGTGCCCTCGTGAGGCTACCTGCGCAGCGACGGGCTGTGGAGGCGACCTTAAATGCACCTGGGCTATGGAGCGCGGCGACGGAATTGAGCGCGCGCGCGGCAGCAGCACCGCCCTCGGCCCCACGGACTTACCCGTTGTGCTCCAACCCGGCGTGCATCACTCTGTAAGCGGGGGCTCATTTCCTGGATGCGGCCCTGTGGGCTCGTCAACCTGCAGCCTATCAGACTTGGCCCACCAACAGCGCCCCCACAATCGTTGCCGGGTCGAGGACCTTGCCGTGACGGGGCCAACCTGCGGGCCCGGGTATGTCGGATGGGCCACCGGCATGGGCCCGACTGCTGGTGTGGGTGCCGCTGGGCCAGGCCTTGTACCCGCAGGAGTCCGCCACGGCTCGGTCATGATGTTGGGGCATCTTGGCACTGCGGCTGCTGTCGGCCACAACGGCGTGGTGTGCTGCGCACCTGGTGCGTGCGAGGCGCTAGTGGCGATGGGCCTTGCGAGCCGGCTGATTGGCATTGGCTCAAACTGCGACCACCCACCCGATGTGTGCACCAGCCGTCGCGTGGTGCTGGGCTGGGTGCCGCAGGACGAAGCACCGCAGGGCGCGGCCGCGAGAGGCATCCGTGTCGTCATGCCAGGCGGTGCCACGATGGGCCCTGTAGTCAGCGGGGCATCGTTATCGTTGGGCCTCGGCGGCGGTGGCGGCGGTGCGAGCCGCAGTGGGCGTACGTCTGTGGACCGTTGTGGTGCTGTGAGGTGCGGGCGGGCTCTCTTGGTTGATGAGCTTGCTCTGCGGCAAGAGCCACCAAGCGTGTTGGTGCTCCCAGACCCTGCGGAGCTATCGGAGGGAGAGCTTGAACAGCTGGAGCAGGTGCGTATGTGTAGAGGGGGCCCCAAAAGGTGAAGAGAGGCGTGCGGGCACAAGGAACTTCCAGGCAATGGAAAGGTTGCTTGCATGCCCACGAGGGCGCTGTCCACACAGCCGAATACTGTTGTAAGGCCTTGGAGCAGGGGCTGTTACGAAGCAAAATTCTGAAGATGAATTAGGTCTGTCCCTAGGCCGCTTGCGCATGAGCGTGCGCACCTAGGCGCGTAGGAGGGCTGTGTGCTGCGTAGGTAAGCCGCTTGCCGCTAGCTCGTCCAAACGGAGCAGCAGTTTGCCCGCGCAAACGGCTGGCTACGACAGCGTGTGGGCTGCAACTTTACATTCCACCACCACCGCCCCGCTGCTCGCTCGTTTCCCGGCGTTGATCCCCCAGGCACTTGTCGAGACGGGCCTGGTGAATCCCAGCGGGAGTTCGAGCAGTACGTGCCGTGTCCTGCACACGAGCTGTCGTACGCTCGTGGATGTAATGGACCTGATAATGGAGCTCGGGGCTGCACTGGACGAGCCACAGGCGGCGTCTTTGTTGCTTGAGAGACTGCAGACGAGGATTCGCCGTGTCGTGGCAGCTGCCGCGGCAGCAGGATCCCCTGCCCGTCTGCCGCCGTCCTCCGTCACGCCTGTCGTCGGGGCTTCGCCCGCGGCACCCCTCACGCCCAGGTGGCCCCGAGTGTTGGTTCTGCAGTCCCTGCAGCCACTGGTCGAGCCGGGCAGGTGCGGCAGCGGACCGGGAAGATGGGTCGCAACACCGAACTAGGGGTGCGATGGGGGCCTGCGCGGATTATCCGAGCCGTCGCTTGTAGTTCCGATCGGCATGGCTTGCAACCCTTGCGCATCATCACCTGCATGCATTGACTGTTGACTATGTTGATTGCCTGGCCTGCCTGCTGTGTATTCGGGCGCAGGTGGGTACCGGAGATGCTGGCGATGGCGGGCGCCACGTCCTGTATGACGCAGGCCGGCGGCCCGGACGTGGCGCTGAGCTGGCAGGACATAAGGGAGCGGGCCGCGCCCGATGTGCTCGTTATTCTCACCTCGCCTGGGGAGGGGGTAGCAGGAGACGCCAGAGGAGGTGGAGGCGGATCGAGCGGGGGTCCCTCTAGCGCCCTGCACGACCAGCTTGCGGCACTGGCAGCGCAGCCGGGTTGGTGGTGCCTGCCGGCGGTGCGTGTGAGCCAGGTGTACCTAATGCAGCCATCGTACTGTGTACGGCCAGGACCTCGGCTGGTGGACGGTCTGGAGCTGCTGGCGCGGCTGTTAATACCTGGGCAGTACAGCAGCAGTCGCAAGGTGCCGGCGGGTGCGGTGATGCGGCTGTCCTTGGCAGCGGGTCAGCGATGCCGCGCCACACTGCTGCCAAGCTATTTCGTGCCTATAACATTTAACTAAATTACGCAGTGCGGATAACTTAATTGTAAGGAGGCGTGCAGCAATGCAAGTTTAGGAGTGTTGTACGCGTATTGCAGATAGAAAGCGCGGGGTAACGCTGTGGGCGGGGCAGACTTGCAGGTAGGCGGTTGGGCGATTGTTTCTCTATATATCGTTGACGGAGTTGACCGTGATGTAGGTTTGCCGGCTGTGACGTAGGAGGAGCAAGAACTATAGTAATAGTGATCACTGTTCAAGGTATTTCTGTTTTCCTTTCGCCGCTGTATGGTGTGCACCGTGTGAGAGTAGCGGGTAAGGGTTGAAACGGTCACCGTTGATTGACGTTGGAGAGAGTCCGTGTACAGCAGAAAGACTGTGGGATGCAATTAACTTATTTCGGTTTCATTCATTGGTGTCTTATTCTGCACAACGCATTCGTAAAATGTTGGCAACGGCGGTGGCTTCCGTCCTGAGACCCCTCGCTGCTGCCGTTGTGTCAACTAGTGTCCGTTCCGTTGTCAGAGGAGCTTCTTACATTCCCATTGTAATAGAGCAAACAAATCGAGGAGAGCGCGCTTACGACATCTTTAGCAGGTTCGGAAACTGCCGGGACGTTGCGAGCTGCATTAGCCAATGCGCGCGTAATATAAATACGTTTTCAGCGCTTACTTAGCGCTATCATACTTGGCGGCGCAGGCTATTAAAAGAGCGAATCGTCATCGTGAACGGGGCAATCGATGACAATACTAGTAACTCGGTCATCGCCCAGCTCCTATTCTTGGAAAGCCAGGCGCCGGACAAGCCAGTAAGATGTTACATAAGTTCGCGCAGCGCTCTTACATGGGCACACCAGGTGCCGGACGGTGCACCCCTCGGAACCCGGAACAGCCACGCCTATCGCATCAGGGGTGTGGGAAGGTCACCGTCTGCTCCACGGTTTCAGATTGGTCGGGCTTCCTTCAAGTGGTCCGGTAGAGCCAGTTATTATGCGGGCGGCTCGTGCATTAGGCCCGGGTGCAACAAGCATGGTGGGCGAGAAGCTGACTCGATGTAGTACCAAACTGCACACTTTGGGACGGGGCAGTTGTTAAGTTCCATGTCCCCGTAACTTGGGAACGCTACTTGCCGATAACCAAAAGATGCAGTCCACGTTGCCCCCGATTACCCATGACACCCCATGCAGATCACGATGTACATCAACAGCCCGGGAGGCGTCGTGACAGCCGGCCTGGCCATTTACGATACCATGCAGGCAAGCCTAGTTGCCTTTGACGCCACCGTCAATTTCCGTGAACATGTAGGACGGAGCATGTGCTCATGTCAGCGACGGGGCGGTAGGGACAGAATGCTTTGCTGACGGGACCGACGTGTTTGTGTGCACGTATGGCCTGACGGACAGGCAGGCAGGCAGGCGCTAAGCATCCCTAGCGCTGTGCGTCGCATCCTCTCAACGGCATATCTGTGTGAATAAGCGGACAACGACGTAACAGTTATTGCGTGCATCTTTTTATGTATATGTTCGTCTACACTCTCTCTCCCTTGTGCAGTACATTCGCTGCCCGATCAGCACTCTGGTTGTGGGACAGGCGGCCTCCATGGCTTCACTGCTGCTGACCGCTGGGGACAAGGGACATCGGAAAAGGTGGGCGCAGTTGTTCGGTGCGACTGAAGGGTTATCGGCTCCCCTTGCTGCCGAAGGCACGGCTGGCGGGCCGGTCTTGAAGTGCCGGCCAATAGAGATGGCTACCTAGCCACGCGCAGCTCCTTGTAAGGCGCGCAATGCAAGCTTGCCTTGTTGTGCTGAACTGGATGCAAAGCTGGATGGTGTTGCCTTTCTGTTGCAATGCCGTTAGATGTTGCATTACTTTGGCAGTTTCTGCTTTAACGGTTGGACAGCAAGAGGGCTTACATATAATAGTGCTGACTGCCCTCGCCTGCCGGGGCGGGGCAATACTTTCCGGTGTTGTTTGCTGAAGCCTGCATTGCCCCTCGCCCAACGCATGCCACCAGCCTGCCACACGCGCGCATCATGCTGCACCAACCGCTGGGCGCCGCTGAGGTGCGTCTCTACTTGTCACCCTGCCGTTCTCGCCCGGGCGCGTCGCGCGCCATTAATACACCTTCCGTTCGGGGTGTTGTAAGGAAATCCAAGCGCTCGCGCGGCATGCTGGCCTTCTGAGCTCAGAGCCCGCGGACCCAGCTCCCTGGGGTAGATAGGGTACTGCCGGACGTTGCACGTTGTACGGGGAAGGAGCTTGTGTAGTGGATTGGGGGGTAGAGTACACGGAGGTTTCTGCGGTCACATTGCTGCATGGGTGCCACGCCCGCATGCGTGCATGCATGCAGGGACAAGCGACGGACATTATGATCCGTGCGCAAGAGATAATGCGCATGAAGGAGACGCTCACCAGCCTTTACATTCGACACACAGGGTGCACGCGGGAGATGGCGGGTACGTCGGGGCTGGATAGGGCCAGCAGCCGGTGACTGCTTGCAATGTCGCTGTGTGCGTGCATGCGCCTCTGGTGTTCGCTGTCCTCTTTGCTTGCTGGTTGCTCTCGGAAAGCACCACACCGCCTGAGGCCTGACCTCGTGTGGTGCAATCCAGAAGCCTGATAGCTGCGTAAAGGTACTTGCGTGGTGGTTTGATGCGGCCGCAGAGAAGACACTGGATCGTGACTCGTTCATGTCACCGGCGGAAGCCAAGGAGTGGGGCTTGATTGACGAAATCCTCGTGGAGCGACCGGCATCTGATGTACACAGCTGACGGCGCTGCTGGTGCGCGGATGAGGGCTTGCAGGGAACACACGGCGCCAATTTTAAGCGGGAAATGTGAATGCTGGAGTTGCACGGCGTGTTACCAAGGGGAAACTGCAAAATGGTTGGGACCAGAGTTGAGGATCAGAATAAATAACGGCAGGAAGGTGTGCATCAGCAGCTCGGGTTACCACGAAGCAGGGAAGGTTTGGTGGTGAAGCGCCAATTTGGACGTTACGTGTATCAGAATGTCCGTATGTTAAGTCCAATTTCCCTGAAAAGAGCGCACGCTTGGATTTGTTAATCAAGCCCGTTCCCTTGGCCATGCCTTCGCTAGATAGAAGACAGGGATAGTGGGAATATCGTTCATTCATTCATGTACATCAAGGATGAGATGACGAGGACTCCTTAAATGTGCCGTGTGCCTATGGTTATCTATAGACGGAGGGCGGTGTGAGTGCGTGATTCCCCCCTCCCGCTTGAAAACTTGGCAATGGTGGTGAGTACTACTTCAGTAAGGGAAATCACTCAGAAGAAGGGGGGCATGGCCCGACCAGACTCACATACCTGTGGTATGCGGGGCGACGCAGTTCCAAATCACGCACCGCACAGCACGGGCATTGCTGGCCAGTGCACTCTCCACAGATGACTGTTGTTGCGAGCGAAACGCTGACTATTCAAGCTCCAGGCAGCAGCAGGAATATACCTCGATGACTTTAACGTAAGCTTGTTTCGAGCTGTACGGAAGAATCCGTTTTCACTTTTGGTATCCTATCAAGCAGGAGGAATGTAGCCCAAGGTTTAATTGCAACTATCATGTTGTTTACCATAGAGCTTTGCGGCAGCTTCTTGACTTACTAACAGCAAGGCTAGTCTACTACCGAGTGTAAAACAGTCCATAGGGGACCTCGGTGTAGTACATGTGAGATATTTATAACGTACTTATGCCCTAGTATCGGTGACTCTGAGTAGCTGCTCAAAAAGTTTCTGTGGTCCTGGCCGGGCTGGCGTCATTGCTTGTCCCCAGAGTCTATTTCCTAGTAAAGACAGCACCCGAAAGTACAGGAATTGATACTTATTTTGATTCATGGTGATAGCGGTCTGGATAGGAGGCATTCAGACGCCGTGCACAAGCCGGTCCTATGCACGCCAGGCTCGGACCAGGCCGCTTCGTGCATCATTCCTGCGGGTTGGACTTAACAAGATTAAGAAACGGAGTTCTGCCCTTGCCGGTGAGTTGATGTTTAGTTGTTTCGCCTTTGGCGGGTAAGCGAGGACGTGGCTCGACCACGTATGTTGCGGCGCAGGTGGCCAGGATGCCGCTTCAAACATCCTGTTGGTCAAATTGCAAGCCTTCGCGCTTGCCTCTGATACTGCAGTGGTCGTTGGCGCGGACCTGCCCTCGGCCGACTTGAACGACATGTGCACCTTGCAGCTCGGCATGCTTTATCAGCTGCTTTCTCGGGCAGGTGGGGGCAAGATATAGATTCTCGCCTCAGCTACGCCATGAGAAACTCCCGAATTCCTTCCATTGACCTGCACTTTGTAACTATACTTGATCTGCAGGCACCAATTACAGTTCCATGACCTGTACCGTGTACACACGCAACTTTACGTCCGTTGGCCCGGGGCAGGTCAAACTGGTGCGCGTAGCTCAGTTTCCCGTTGACGCAGGTAAGATAGGTCGGGTACTGCACGTCAGGTGGATGTCCTTAGCAGTATCTTAACGACAGGGGCCCCCTGGCGTCTTGGCCTGCGTTGACGTTCTCTGGAGGTACATTAGGCGGTTCGTTCGTTTTCCTATAGATACACATCGCACGGCTGCTCAGGGCTGTTCACTCGCGGCACAGCTGCGGACACCTGATGCCACTTGTCGCCATGTAACCTGCACTTTGTGACAAACAGTGTGACATGTGCTGCCAGCCCTGACGCGGCTTTGTCTGTCGACTTGCAGGCCAAGGTGAGGACTTCCAGACGCAGCAACCACTACTGCCATGCGAACTACTGTTGCACACAGTGAGTCGATAGGTGTCAATCCGGTACCAATACATGGTTATTCCAGGGACCAGGAGCACGCCCATCAGCGAGGAACACTTCGTAATCTCAATCTCACAGCGCTTGGCACACCAGCGTCCCCTCGCTCCACTCCTTCCCTTCATCAAAGCCAACCCCTGATGACCAAAATCCGCCGGTCTCCCACCTTGCCTTTTACGTTCCGCCCGCATCCACCCCTCACATGCTCACCCAGGAGCAATCCTGGGCTCTCCAGGGCGGCTCCGTGGCCGTTGACCCCAGTGCCATGATAGAGGAGTGTCTGCTCCACCGCGAGGTGGTGGCGCTACCCAGCTCCTCCTCACTGGTCTTCCCGCTCGTGGACTGCGGGGTGCTGGTGGGGCTGCTGGTCGTGGGACTGGATAAGGACCGCCTGGGCGGGGACGCAGCGGCCAGCAGAAGCAGCGGAACAGGCAGCACTGAAAGCGAGGCCGTGGGAGCGGCAGGACTCGGGCGTGCGTGTGGGGCTGGTGTTGCGGCGCTGGTGACGTCCCCCTCGTTGGAGCAGGGCAGCGTGCACGGGCAGGTGCAGAAACGGGCGCACATGAGGCTAACTGGTGAGTTATGGTATACTGAGGCAGTGGCAAGCGGGGGTTATGAGGGTCTGATGGCATCCAGTCCAATGGGAGGCGTTTACAAGGACTTTGGGAATGCGTTACGTGTATACATGCGGGAAGCCATGTGAGTGGGTTCTGTAGAATGTTCCTCGCCACATAGAGCAAGACATCAGCAGCAGGGGGGCCAGCAGGCGCCCTTGGAACACGTATTACTTTCTTCATGATGGCTGTTTGCTCATGGTTTCAAAGGTTGGATAATCTTTCTGAGGATGTACGCCTGGGTAATTTAGTAGGTTGTTGCTCATTATGTTTGCTGTCGACCTTGTCGCCGCACCTGCCAGATGAGGAGTTGCAGTGCCTGCGGCTGGCAGTGCCGCTGTTGGCCAAGGCGTGCGGCATGGACGCGCGGGCGAGCTGGCAGCTGGCGCAGAGCTCCGTAACCGCTGCAACTGCGAGAGGTCTGCTGCTGGAGGCGCAGCGGCCTCTGTCCACTCTTAACACTTTTGGAAAAATGCTAGTGCCACGCCTCAAAGACGGAGACCCTGATAAGGACATGGCGAATGGTATTCTGGTTCAGGTGGGCAACCAGCACCTTGTCGGATTGCACTCATGCGTTTTCCCAACCATCCGTGATATGTTTCTCTGCTTGGCGTCCTTGGCGCACCGGCAGCGTCTCTTAGCGGTTATACTTTTGTGAGGTCGCCCCTTTTTCGACAAATGGTAGGGGTAAAAATCGGGTGGCTTTCTGACTTCACAGGGTGCCCGCTGCTGCTCGTCATCCCCATAAAATGTTTTGCATCGTTCCTGCTGGTATCGGTTCGCGTTCTTAGCCCGCATCCGCGGTAGATTTCCTGTGCGCTTCTGTTTTCGTGGTTATGACATGCATATTGCTCGCTACCCCAACCAACACAAAAGCACATTGTCCTGCGGTGAGCGGTCATTTGAGCAATTCCCATCTGGTTCCATCCGCTGCCACAGGGCAAGCGCCTTCAGGATTTGATGTGGCAGTTGGAGGATGCGCTCCACGGCCCCGCCGTTCCGGGCTTTGCCGGCCTAGGAGCGCACGTGCCGCCCATGCCGGTAGCCATGCCGGGTGTAGCAGGCGCCCCTCAAGCTCTCCTGCAGGCTCCGCCGTTCTGCAGCCCCAGCGCTCTGCCTCGCGACCCCAGTCCTGCAGTCCAGGAGCTATTGTCACTGCCCCAGCCACGACAAGTGGCCTTGCCTGCTGCCGTAAGCCCGCAGCATCAGCAGCCAGAAGCCATGACATCTTCTTCGTCGTCCATGGACACACCGGTTCAGGGGTCCTTGCAGTATCGAAGCATGGACGCTACTGTTGGACCCTCTGATTTGGAGGGGGCCTCGCCAAGGTTTACCAGCCGGGGACCGCCGGGCCAAGTGGCGTTTGCCGACCAACCAGTCCCGACGAAGAGCTCCTCTAGGGTCAGCACCACGACCGACGCCTTTACAATACGCCAGCCGCCGGCGTACCTGTCCAGCAGCAGCAGAACCACCTCCGCTGCAGGATTGACGAGCGCGTCAGTGGCCGGAGTACGGCACGGGGGCAGGTCGGGGTCTCTCAGCAGCATCGCAAGCACCGCCACTATTGATGTGGAGATGGACAGCTGCGACACCGGCAGTACTAGCACCAAGGTCGGGCCGGCACAGCCCGATCAAACCCGGAGCAGCTCGCGGCAGCCCGTCACCGCAAGCACTGCCCCGGGTGCAGCATGGGGTTGGAGTCCAGCTCAATTCAACGGCGCCGGGGGGGCGCATGTGGCTGCAGCCACCGCGGTCAGTACTAACCTCGTGTCAGCGCTTGCAGGCGTCCTCACGGCTGCCTACAGGCTCGCAGCCGTGAGTGGCATTGGCTTCATCGTCAACTCGCCGCTCTCGGCCGTGTTGCCAAGGCGGCTTGGCTCCGCGCCCGCCGGCGGCAAGACCCGTCCGCATCTGGCAGAGGGGAACCTCCCGGCTGGCGGTAGCCTGACTGCCAGCAGCAGCTCAGGGGCCGCTGGCTCGCAGCGCACGAAGGTGACTGCAGCCGCTGCAGTACGGGACAGCGACGACGCGGCGCGGTTGCCGGCGGCATGCGAACCCCGGCTTATCCCGCGCCCTGCCCGGCCCTTGCTGGTAGGTGTTTCCGCGGCCCTTTTGCAGAAAGTCGTGAGCTATATGCTGGATATTGCGCTACAGTGCACACCTCGCGGCGGCCAGGTGTGCGTGTCTGCGCGGCAGGACGGCGGGGGGGTGCAGCTGCAGGTCCTCCACAGCGGCCGAATGGACCTCCAGCGTTTGCACGTGCGCTCGCGCTCTATGCTCCACTCGCCGTCGGGCCGTGGGCAAGTAGCGGCGACAGCGACAATGGCAGCGGCGACGACGCCCAGTTTGGGGGATGTGTCCGTGACTCATGGCAGCGGCGCAGCTGCAGTGGCGGTTGCTGCGCGGCCATCTGTCGGAACGGCTCCAGGGAGCAGCAGTGGCGGCGGCTCGCAGGTGGGTTCCGGAGTGCTAAGTGTGGAGTTGGCGCAGGAGTTGGCGCAGCAGGCAGGTGGCCACTTGACGGTATCGTATCCGTTCAATATGGTAAACGCGCAGAGCGGTTCTCTCGACGTGGGGACCAGCGTGGAGATCTGGTTGCCTGGGCCTGGCGCATTGAACTAGGAAGCGGGAGGTTGGTGGGGGTTTGCGTGTCAGGACTGTGGATGACGGAGTGGATTGATTTGAGCCATGGACTGTTGGCATGCCCATATCACGGGGCCATGTCCTATCAGAGGTATAGAGGAGACTCCCGCATTTTAGTAGCGGCTGGCGGCAGCCAGCGTTTTTAGATGTCAGCTGGTTGGCTTCTGCGACGTGTTGTGGATTCACGGTTGTTGTATCGCACCAAAATGCACCGAAGTTCAGGGGCATTGCCACGCGTCCATCGCCGACGAAGCACCAGGGAATCTGTGGAGATGCTCCCAAGCCTTTAGTTCTGGTGGCTGCGATAGCCTTCGGACTGCAGGCTCGGGGCACCCATGTCCCACCAGGAGAGGCATGGTTTGTTGCATGGTTACCGGGGAGAAGGGCTATATTAGACGATGATGAAAATGTGTTTTGTTGCTTTTTGTTGAACCCAAACTTTGTTTATAGCAGCGCAAGACCTTTTGGCCGCGAAGGTCGTTTGTGCTTGGAATACTTGCTTGCAGGACATGTGTGCGAGAGAGAGAGTGTGTTTATGTGTACGTGTGCCTTCTGAGCTCTGCGAACCTGTGGTTGGTCATTGTCTTTCGTTGTATTACATCTAGTAGCAATATCCTTGCGTCGTTCCGCGGGCAGGATTGTATCACTGTGAAGAACGACCGGGCTTTAATCGCCAGCAGTGCATCTTTCATGTGGGCTCTGCGCACCGATGTACATTTTAACCGTTCTTGTACTGACCATATGCAGTGTGCGCCGCAACAACTGCAACCCTAACAAATGAAGTTGGCGGCTGGCTGAAGTGGTTGGTTTCGGCCGATGTGTGGTTCATATACCCCCCCTGGCGGACGGTGGGACCGTCCATGGGGGACGGTCCGCCGGACGGTCGACCGTCCGGCACAGCTTTCCGGGCACACATACCAACATATTTTTGCACGAAGCAAAAGATATTATATTGTAGATTATCATGGTGCTCACGGCGCGCGCGGGCGTGGAGCGCGCGCAGAGATTTCTTGCGCAAGCCCCGTGCAAACTGCGTCCAGATGAGCCCTTTACCCTTGTAATTTGCTGAGCTTATAGTAAATTGAAGTTCTATAATCTTTTCATGGATAATACAATGCAATGTGCAATACTGGGGGCTACGTCGATGCAAGCGGTAGGCGCCAGCGAATGCATGAAATGTAAACAAAGCTAAAACTAGCATTCGGCTAAGTCAATTAGATTTAGGAGCATATTTATCTGGCGGTTTGGGGCCAGTCTTGGACCACAGCCATGGGCGACCTGTGTGCCTGGGAGCCTGGGATTCTGAGGGCATGTGTGCCTGGGAGGCTGTGTGCCTGGGAGCCAAGGATTCTGAGAGCCTGGGAACCTAAGAGCCTGGGAACCTGGCAGCCTGCCTTTCTGAGAGCTTCTGTGCCTGGGATTCTGAGAGCCTGGGAATCTGAGAGCCTAGGAACCTGGCAGCTTGGGGACCTGGCAGCCTGGCTTTCTAAGACCTTGTGTGCCTGGGAGCCTGAGAAACTTGGAGCCTGGGAGCCTGTGTGCCTGGGAGCCTGGGAACCTGGCAGCCTGGGATTCTAAGAGCCTGTGTGCCTGGGAGCCTGGGATTCTGCGAGCATGTGTGCCTGGAAGCCTGTGTGCCTGGAAGCCTGAGATTCTAAGAGCCTGTGTGCCTGGGAGCCTGGGAGCCTGTGAACCTGGCAGCCTGGGATTCTGAGACCATGTGTGCCTGGGAGCCTGTGAACCTGGCAGCCTGGGATTCTAAGGGCCTGTGTGCCTGGGAGCCTGGGAACCTGGCAGCCTGGGATTCTGAGACCATGTGTGCCTGGGAGCCTGGGAATCTAATAGCATGTGTTCCTGGGAGCCTGTGTGCCTGGGAGCCTATGTGCCTGGGAGCCTGAGAACCTGGCAGCCTGGGATTCTGAGACCATGTGTGCCTGGGAGCCTGCGTGCATGGGAGCCTGGGAACCTGGCAGCCTCGGATTCAAAGAGCCTGTGTTCCTGGGAGCCTATGTGCCTGGGAGCTTGGGAACCTGGCAGCCTGGGATTCTAAGAGCCTGTGTGCCTGGGAGCCTATGTGCCTGGGAGCCTGGGAACCTGGCAGCCTGGGATTCTGAGAGCTTGGGACCCCAGTCTTTAACGAAACGTTGGTATGGCTTCGTTGGCCTACCCGCCATGCGCTGTTTTGCATAGACAGGCTGGCAGGCGGAATTCGTACAAGGGCGTAACCGGGTGCGGGGCGTTGATGCCGTGTTGGGTCGTGGGGACGTGCGCATGATGTGCGCCAGCTCGGATGCCATACAATGGCCTATTCCCCCCGCCAAATGATCATTTACCCAGTAGAGCATCCATTGTGCCATTCAGAGCCGACAAAGGGATGGAACGACGTGTTGGACGTGACGATCAGTCTTTGCTGAATCCCTTTCACTAATGCCCAGTGCTTGTGGCCATTGCAATGACCTTACTGCATAATTCAATTGTTCCAGTGCGTTGGTGTTATTTAAGCAGGTTATGTAAACAGGTTATTAGAATGTCCGCCGCGCGTCTTGGGATCTTGTCTCTTTTTCTTTCGATTGCTTTCTTCTTTTATGCTAGAAGTCGTTTTACTGTGGGGGTGTTTCCACTTGGATTATCACAATGTTTATCCCGCGTTCGGCGAATCGCAAGCTTATGCAGTTTGCTGTTGGGCACTGGCGGCTAACAGAGCGCGTAAGGGACGACGTTATATACCTAGGGAGGAACGAGTATGCCCTTGCTGCGGCACTGAGAAACACATTTTGCTGAACTGTCCGGCATACGACAAAATCAGATCTGATATGGGCTTTCCATGCTTCGTCGTAGCTTGCAACTCTGGGCTCTTGAAACTGCCGCGGAAGATGAAGCGGTCGGCGAAGAATCAGCCATAAGGCGCCTGCTTTCGGTAGCGCAGCGCATAATGCACATTGTTCCGACTAAACTCAAGTTACACTCTTACGAAATAAATAATAACAACGCAGAATTAGGTAAAGAGAAGAATCGCGAAAGTCGTTCAGAACCTTGCAAGTAAAATGGATGCCGCTGAGGGCTTGGAACAGCTTTTCGCAGCGCATTCGGCCGTGCCTGCGTTAGCCGTGTTGGAGCTACTACGGAAGGACTTGAGCCAGCAGCAAGCTCAAATTCTGTTTAAGAACCACCGGCAGTGTCTTCAGATGGGAACATGTAGTTTTGGTCGGCGCGGGCGAGCAGCGTACGCATTGCGCACAGGTACCGAGGTGCAGCGTCTCAGGATGGATTTCAGCCAACAAAGCCTCAAGAGCTGCTGCACAACCACAGGTGTGTCTTCAGTTGGGCACGTGTAGTTTTGGTCGGCGGGGTCGAGCATCGTATGCATTGCGCACAGAAACCAAGGTGCACATCGCCAACATATCCGGAACGCACGCGGTGGCAGGCTTGCCGAGCACGAAATGAAGGGGGGTCGCATCTCACCATTCAACTAAGCATGCATGTGCTCGGTTGAATGCTCGGTAGCATGCGAGTTTACCTATCAGGATGTTTGTTTGCATATATCCCTCCAAGCGAGAGGGCTTGGACCTATGCTGATGTTCGTTACAAGAAGTGAACTGAGGACTGATGCTGCACGTCATGTATACGCGTTGCTTAGCTTGCAACGAGACGCGCCCACGATGAAAGCTTCAGCTACACTCACAATACATTATACTGCTACACTATTCTCTCCAGTCCTACCACATTATATTTCACCGACGTACTTCCGCACCTTCCACATCACCATACGTGCTTTGGAAACGCGGGCAGCTGCTTCACAAGGGCCCCCATCTTTAAGCAGCCCCTCGCAGAAATGTGTCCGGTCGTACTGTGCCGAATAAAACATCCGTACATCGTCCCAAAAGCAAGGAGCGAATTTTGCCGCGCGGATGCGCGCGTGCGATTCTCAAAATGCGCCTGTACAAGTGTATGTAATTTTTTCGGCGAAAGGCCGCTCATCAGGGCATGTTGGCCGCAGTCACAAGCGGCGATGCGCGCGTGCGATTCACAAAATGCGCCTGTACAACTGTATATAATTTTTCTCGGCGGAAAGGACCAGACGCGCCAGCGCGTTGCGCAGGTGGGCATGTTGGCCAAAGCCGCACGCGGCATGCAGGCTGGACTATTGCGTGGATGCTTTGCAGTAACTAAAAGCACCGAAAGCCAACGTCGTAGCTTGCAACTCTGGGCTCGTGAAACTGCCGCGGAAGATGAAGCGCTGGCGAAGAGGCAGTTGTATGCAGCACCTTGTTCAGAGTAAAGTCAAATTACAAAGTTGCGCAAAGTATAACATACATAAACTTAATTAAACATAAGAACAGATAAGACGTTTAGAGCCTTGTCGGTGACATGGACGCCGCCGTTGGCTTGGAACAGCTATTTGCTGTGCATAGGGACGTGCCCGCGTTAGCCGTGTTGCAACAGCTCAGGATGGATTTCAGCCAGCAACAGCCTCAAGAGCTGCTGCACAACCACCGGGAATGTCTTCAGTTGGGCACGTGTAGTTTTGGTCGGCATCTCACCATTCAATTAAGCATGCATGTGCTCGGTTGAATGCTCGGTAGCGTGCGAGTTTACCCCTATCAGGATGTTTGTTTGCATATCCCTCCAAGCGAGAGGGCTTGCACCTATGCTGATGTTCGTTCCAAGAAGTGAACTGAGGACTGATGCTACGGTGAAAGATTTGCACGTAAATTCGCCCGTGCAATAAAACGCGCTGTAACTCGCTTACGCTAATCTCACATTCCAATATGCCACTGCACTTTCCTCTCCAGCCTGGCCACATTCTCTTCCTCGCAAACGTACTTGGGCACCTTACAATCCAACACCATACGTGCTTTGGAAACGCGGGCAGCTGCTTCACAAGGACCCCCCTATTTTAAATGTCTGGCAGTACTCGAATTTGCATTTTATGCACGGATTGGCAAATGTCGTACTTCAATCCGTTTCTAAATCCAGACGTATGAAACACTCCGACGGATTAGCGGTGGATTGGCACAGATTAAAAATACCTTAATCCGCGACTTTTAATCCAAGTGGAAATACCCCCATAGACCATCGGAAGCCTACTGTAATGTTACAGAGTGGGAGTGGGAAGCCTACTAATTTAAACAATTTCCTTACACACAGATATAGGAAGGAAAGGAAATAGGGGTCACTGTGTATTTGAACACTCTTTTGCAGCTTGTTACGCGACCGACTTGCTACGCAAGTGTGGAGATATGTCGAAGCCTCAATATCGTTTCTTTCGCAAGTCATTCCACGTTCCTTCAAAGTGGATGGAAAGCGAGCAGATTGTGTACCTAGTAAATCACACGTATGCGACGGAGGAGTGCAGTATAGCCTTGCAGAACATTACTAACAGGCTGAAGGATCTGGGATACATGGAGGACAACGACGCCATGGTGCACGACTACCTGCTCTTCATGGTTCAGGACTTACTGGACAAAAACGGCGAGGTGTACATCACCGATGACGACATTCGGGACGATGGCAGCATTAGGAAGCTGCTGTGTGGTATGACACCAGACTTGGTCATCAAGAAGAACGGGGATCGTGAGAAGACTGTCATCCTCGATGTCTACGTTGGGTCACAGCCGGCGGACGTTAAGAGCAAGTACGAGACGTTGGCTTTCTTCTCGACCCTGTGCGTGGTGACTCCGCACAACTTTCAGCGGCAGCTCCAAGCAGTCTTGCCAGAGTCGGACATCGACTACCTGTACAAGAATTTTCAAATCTTCATGACCGAGTACAGCTATTGGCGGGCATGCATCAAGCTTCGCACGGTCCTCCTTAACGACGTCGAGTATGTCCCTCTTCGAGAGTTCCAGTTGGCGCCTGCCGACTTGGCCGAGCAAGATGTTGCCAAACGACAGTTCAAGACTAACCTTGCTCAGTATGCAGACAGCGTGGCGAACCAGGCGGACATCTGACATGATGCCTCATCAGTCATGTGAGTAAGTAAGGGGGGGCGTGAACAATAATGGTTTTCTGTTGTCAAGAAGTGATGGACTCATGATTTGTACATGTCCGCGCCAACCATCACCACCCCACCCGCACAGGCAGCTGCAGGCCATGGCCAGCATGCAACAATGGAACAGGCAACGGCGTGTGAGCGCAGTGAGCCTGTGTGCCTGGGAGCCTATGTGCCTGGGAGCCTGGGAACCTGGCAGCCTGGGATTCTGAGAGCTTGGGACCCCAGTCTTTAACGAAACGTTGGTATGGCTTCGTTGGCCTACCCGCCATGCGCTGTTTTGCATAGACAGGCTGGCAGGCGGAATTCGTACAAGGGCGTAACCGGGTGCGGGGCGTTGATGCCGTGTTGGGTCGTGGGGACGTGCGCATGATGTGCGCCAGCTCGGATGCCATACAATGGCCTATTCCCCCCGCCAAATGATCATTTACCCAGTAGAGCATCCATTGTGCCATTCAGAGCCGACAAAGGGATGGAACGACGTGTTGGACGTGACGATCAGTCTTTGCTGAATCCCTTTCACTAATGCCCAGTGCTTGTGGCCATTGCAATGACCTTACTGCATAATTCAATTGTTCCAGTGCGTTGGTGTTATTTAAGCAGGTTATGTAAACAGGTTATTAGAATGTCCGCCGCGCGTCTTGGGATCTTGTCTCTTTTTCTTTCGATTGCTTTCTTCTTTTATGCTAGAAGTCGTTTTACTGTGGGGGTGTTTCCACTTGGATTATCACAATGTTTATCCCGCGTTCGGCGAATCGCAAGCTTATGCAGTTTGCTGTTGGGCACTGGCGGCTAACAGAGCGCGTAAGGGACGACGTTATATACCTAGGGAGGAACGAGTATGCCCTTGCTGCGGCACTGAGAAACACATTTTGCTGAACTGTCCGGCATACGACAAAATCAGATCTGATATGGGCTTTCCATGCTTCGTCGTAGCTTGCAACTCTGGGCTCTTGAAACTGCCGCGGAAGATGAAGCGGTCGGCGAAGAATCAGCCATAAGGCGCCTGCTTTCGGTAGCGCAGCGCATAATGCACATTGTTCCGACTAAACTCAAGTTACACTCTTACGAAATAAATAATAACAACGCAGAATTAGGTAAAGAGAAGAATCGCGAAAGTCGTTCAGAACCTTGCAAGTAAAATGGATGCCGCTGAGGGCTTGAACAGCTTTC